CTGAATTGCAGCACACAGGAGAAGGGAAAAAGCACTGAGAGTTCTTTCCCGGTATACCCAAACGACACAACAAAACACACCAAACTGAACACACAGGCAGATTCTCTCCTCTCGCGTTTGTGAATGTTTTGCGGCGCGACGTCGATATGGAATCGACGATACTGTGTCACGAATGCTCGCTCTCCCATCGGAAAGTGTGTGCTGAGAGAGGCCTCATCTGGTGCCCCGAGCAGCCCGGCGATGGTCTTCGGCTCAGACCCGAAACCTCTCACAGCCGTGGCCCGTTGGAAAATTGGACGGAAAAGTGAACATCGGGTCGCTGTGTATCGGAATTTGTGCCCCTTCCCGGACACATGCCGTCCAGCTTTCGATGGGGCGCCGAGAAAAGCTCGCTCCCATGGAGAGAATCCGTGCGCGCGCACCGAGCACGAGGACTCTCTCCCTCTCTCAGTCGCTCTCGCGTCAACAATGGGAGAGCGAAAGCTCGGGGAACGAGTGATAAATGCGTTAAACAGTCGTACACCCATTTCGCCAATAAAGCATAACCACGAGCGAGTTCTTTTCCTCCAGTCCCAGTGACGATGACGGAATGCTTCCAAGGGCTCGCGCGACCCCATCAGATGGCCCAGATGAGAGACAAAAGTCCCATTGGACTGACTAAATCATTCACGTCACTGCTCGTTCTCTCTCCGCTCTCACGCCAAACCCTTTCATTCCCAGGGGGAGAGCTTGGGAGCCGAACTTTTCCACCAGTCCACAGAGAGGATGATATTTATAAGAATTCCCTACCCTGTTTTTCTGACAAGCGAAGGCAGGAAGTGAGTGAAAAGTTCTGTGGATGCCTTTTTTCGTTTAGTGAGTGATAAAAGCTCACACTATACCTATGTACACGTATATCACTGTGTGTTGCTGGATAAAGCCAAATTGGGACTCTGAATTTCCCCACGAATACAAGCACACTCGAGCGAGTTATTAACCCTTAACCAGAGTTGAAGGAACTTGCGAACAAAGCTGCAAGAGCAAAATATGTAGATATTTACAAAAAAGGCTCTTCGCACCCGGGAATAAACATTTAAAAATAACTCTCTCTTAAACACTGAATGTAATTCGGATCAACACTAATGGTGTTAAAATCGGATATTGCTTTCAGAATCACTACCAAAAATAGCCAGAAAACATTGCTAATCTCTTATCTGGAAGATTAGCAGCTCTCATTAGAGCAGAAATACTGTTTCTATGAAGTAAAGACGGTCTTATCTAGAGCTAAGTTCCTCTTAACGCTCCTCACCCTGAGTCATGATGAGGAAATTTGATTCCACCTCAGAAATCAGTCAATGGGAAAAGTGTGAAGTCTGTGGAATGGCGAGGTGTGATAAAATGCTGAAGAGTTCAGAAAATACCCACCGAATCCGCCATTTGCCAGCTCAATTGGCTCTCATCATTCATCCTAGAGTCGTGACAAAACAATGAGGACTCAATTATCGATTTTAAGAGAGGCCTCGCCACCCCCTTGGCATGGCCGAGCACACCGAGAGCCCCTCACAGAGTGCGATAAAGAGTTAACTCTCCATATCAAGTCGGAGGGATCTCTCGCCTGGCAGGGAACAACAAGTGTGTGCCGGTGGAATGATGACGACTCGCTCGTCCAGGAGGAATTCCGAACGAGGGGACAGAAACTAGTTGATTTATTGCCGTGCTTCGCGCACTTTATTATTGTGTCACTGGGCGGCAATCTCGCACCAACACTCTCGTGACCAAACCATTTTACTCGAAATACAACATCTTTCTAGTGTGTACGCAGATAACTCGCACTCCTCAATGCGCTTTATCTCCCAATGTAGCATTCAGGTGAATAGCATGAGCTGAAAGAAAAGTCAGGAGAATGGAAACAATGGGCGTAAATGTGTTAATAATTTAATTAGTCTCGTAGACGTTAACAGCAATTTCAATATTCAAATTCCCATCAAGGTTACTTCATCAATTTTCCCACCCAATTCTAACCACCACACTGATGTTAAGGAGGAGAAGTATGTTAGCTCGTGTGAACACGTCGAGAAATTCAATGGGAGAAAATAAAATTACATGGATGACCTTTAAAAGTCTCACATTTCTCTCAATTCTTACAGCTTTTCGTACTTACTGCCAATTGCTGGTATAGAAAACTTCCGAACCTCCACTCAAGGTGATAAGAAAGCTACAGTATCATTCCTAGAAATCATGAGGAGAATAACTATTGCGCTCCTCGTCAAACTGGACATATTTTCCATCTTCTCAGCTTTTCTCCTCACAGAATCCCAAATCTCATAATTCCCCACGTCGTATTTTAACTTTGTATTTTGCATGATGTTCGCCAAGAAAGTAGATCACAATTTGCGTCACTGCACCCCCGAGCAACCCCACAAACTTCCAGATTCCCGCACATACACCCCCTCTTATTGTTCTGTCTATGTGCGAAGTGATGATTTGCAGAACTTTCTGCACCGTCATGTCCGAGAGATGGAGAAAAATGTGTGAAAATGTTTCAATGAAAAATTCCCATATAGTCTTAATTGATGCTGCAAGGTTCCATCAAGGAGAAAATTGAGCATTTTCCGGAAAATAAGCGTAAAATTCAACCCAAAACACCCATTCATCATCCCATGCTAAACTTCCGCACAAGTTTGTAAAATACAATAGCTTCTCTCAGAACTTTTCACCAAATGCAGTGAAATATTTAATTGCTAATATGCCAAAAGTATTCTGTATCTATGTAAATCTCAATTTCTTTATTTTCATCATTACTTCTGCACTTGATATTGCGTTATGGCATGTAAGAAATGAATGGCAATTTGTATTTAATAGTGGAAAAGTGCTGAAATCTCGTCAGCATTCTCGGTGTCAGACACATTATGAATGGCAAATAGGAAAACTAGCAATTTTGTATGATTTCTCAATTGACTTCTTGCGCAATTCATTAATTGGTGACTTCCTCCAGACGGTAGAAAAGTATTATAATGAGAACATGTCATAGAACTCACTGAAAAACATTTCTTTACTTTCAAACACGACAGGAACATCAATTCTTGGAGAGACCGGAGTAATTTCTTAATTAAAAACATATAATATTCAGAATTTCATTCCAAATAAATGTCTGATGAAAATTTTCCATTTTCTCTCTGTCACACATTTTCAGACTTTCCCTTCGTCTAAGAATTTTATTAGAACTTTGCAGGTGTCTTTGCAGAGAAAGGAAAAGTAGAAAGACAACCTATTAGCTAATTTATTCAATTTGACACACAAGACAGGCAAAAAGGTCTATTAGAAAAAAGTAGAAGATTTCAGAGCTTCAATTCCCCACACTTTCGCACTTCTAAACATTCATCCAAGATGAGAGTCTCATTTCGATTTTGACGGAAATTCAATTTCAGTTTGCCACACACACGAAAAATCACATTACCGAAAGCTTATTGCAGATATTTCCTCGCTACCCCTTCGCAATTGATTTCTCGGCAAAATGTTTGGGAATAATTTGCGAAAAATCAGCCCAGGGCAATTTTGTATGTGCTCTATAGACATGGGTAGAAGGCATTCGTCAATGGAGGAAATTGATGTCCCCAAAAAAATTCAGAGGAATTTCCCTCATTGTGGGCTTTTACCTTCGCAGATACAATCCAAAGTTTGCCCACCTTTTTAGTACATCAATATTATTGTTGCGATAAAAACTCACCACCTTCACTCCATTGAGAATTCTCCTTATGGTTTGGTAGCCATTATTCCTTTACTCCTTTTCTTCCCTTTCGCCCGTGGGGTTCGAATTGTCACTCGCGTTTTATTAAGGACGTCAGAAGCGCACTTCCAATGTATTCACAGTAGGTATTCACTCTTATTCATTTCCATTTACGATGGAACCCCGTAGCTTTTATTGCGATTTGATATGCCAGAGAATATCACAAACATGAGAACCTGTGGCAAAAGATCACATTCGATATTCACAGACGTTTTGTCTTAATTTGTCCTGCTCAGAGATTACAATTTTATATCACACACTTAATATCTCTTTTCACACATCAATTTTATAATTAGACTCTTTCATCGTGAAATATGACGTGTTTGCGAATAAATGTTGATAATTGGTGAGATAGAGGAAAGGTGGATCTCTGAAATTATTCTCAGCTATTTATATCAACATCACAAGACTCTTCTCACACGAGGATTGTGCAATTATCAAATTCTAGCCATTCTCTCAGCCATATGACTTAAGAGAATCGCCTTTTACAGCTCACAGGGCGTCTATTTAATTCCAGGTGCTTCCAAGTGAGCCCTTGTGAGTGGAAAATTCACAAAATGCGCATCAATCCGTGACAATGATAGCTCGGGATGACGATAATGAGGAGGACATGATGATATTCTCCCGCATTAATTGCTCTGCCTCGTGCTAAAGTGCCTTCTTCTCAGCACTTCAACTCAACAGTCTCTTTATATTGTCCTTCTCATACGTCAAAAGGGCATCACCTATTATAGTGAAATGCAATCCATTTTACCCTTGTACACGTTCTTGTCGGAGTAATGTACGCTATAGTGCCGTGGAGACTCTTCGTAAGCAGTCTTCGGGTGTCTAATCGAAGTTTAATATTCCGCTTGAATCCTTCAAGACTATCGAATATTGTGTCGTCAATTTATTTATTCACTTTTCATTTACGCATGATCGCTTTTGCGTGGCGGAGCCATAAAAATAATGCAGCAGACTATTTATTAATATTGAATAATGCAAATTTATTCATAATGTCATGTTCCAACTCTTCACAAACCCAATGGCGTAAATAAGGAAATTCAACATAATGTAGATGATGAGTATTTGTAGAGAAGTAGTACACAAGTATAATGAAGGCATTATCAAAATTATTACAATAGAGAATTAATAGGCAATTTAACTTTTTTCTACTGGGATATCCTTAGAAAATGCTTCATCACGTTTTAATTTTGCGCCCTGTCATTCCCATTTTCTCGACTATAAATTAGAAGTGCATGCAAAACTGACAAAACAGTCTTTCGATTGCATAGAACATTTGTGGAATTAATCATGAAGTGGATTCTCTGCTCCGCGATATTGTTCGTAGTTTGTCTCTTTTATCTCGAAGCAAGACCTCAAGCACCGCGAAGAGATGAAAGTGTAAGATCCCTCCAATGTTTTACGTGAATTGAAATTCAATTTCCGACATCAATTGTAAAACCAGCAGAAAAGTTTTTCAACTTCCTTGAACTTGTGATTTCTTAAAAAAAAAAAAAAACAAAGTTCTCGTCGCTTGCTTTCATTCGAAGTTGAAAAGAAAGTTCTTGGTTCACTGATTAAAATTGTGCAATTTTCAGTACCCGCCGAGGGATGTTTTGGAAGAGTATCGCCCACTGAGAATGCTTTGCATGCAAGAAAGTGGAGCCACGGAAAAGATCATCGAAGAGTTCAGTGACGGCGATCATCTGTCGCCAATCGAAGACAGGGCTCTTATGTGCTACATGAACTGCATTTTCCACAAGGCTGAGGTGGTTGATGACACAGGTCATGTGCACTTTGAGAAGCTGCGACTCAAAGTGCCGGAAGACCTGAAAGACATTGGGCACAACATGCTGTCCCAGTGCGAAAATCCCGTCGGAGCTGATCTCTGCGAGAAAGCGTATTGGCTGCACTTGTGCTTCAAGCGAGCCGATCCTGTCCACTACTTCCTCGTCTAATGGACTCTAAGCTCGATGGGATGCTCTCATAGGTCAATGAAATCTCGCAATTCTATATCATTTTTATTACAATGACACAAGAAATAGTTTAGAATATATTGTAACCTGCATTCAAAAGTTGTTCATCTTCTTTTTTCCACACGGACGATACCAACCAATCACAGATAAGCTGTGGTGAGTCACAGTTCTTAATATTATTCACTTTCTCAGCGCTAGTAGGTGTGACTTCGGGAGAAGATTGTTTGTGCTGTGATCTCAAATTGAGAACACTTTTCATGTGGTATTTTCAGCCGGAATCTATGTGAATTTCTGAAAATTCCTACTGACCACATCAAAATTCGCTTGTTCGTCCACTTTTGTCCATCTGTTGATACTACTCCTGTTGAATTGCACACAAAAAGTGTCATAAGCATACAAAACAGCAAACAACCCTCGAAAACTTCAACCAGAATCACTCTTGAAACAACACTTTCCAATTCACCTAGTTAACATTTGTAGAAACTGAAATTTTCCTCGTCAAAAGCGTCAAAAACACAGTTGTGGTCAAATAGAAAAATATATGTATTTTATGTGAATTTGTATAAATTGTGAAGTGATTTTATTCATTTTCACTCCACTTTTTCAACTATAAATTTGCAGAGTGCAGAATTTAAACAAATACAATTTTGAGCGTTTCTCTAAGTGAGCTTTTCATGTCACAAATTTACCTGAAAAACTACAAAAGTGAGAAATTGTCTCCGTGCGAAAATTCTTGCTGGGGATTTTCTCATTCAAAAAGCTCCTCCAGTCTAAATCAAAGTTAAATAGTACAAAAAGAACCAAAAATAGCTTTGAAAAACAATGCAAAATCACTATAGCCCAGATTACAAGTGGAAAAAAAATCTCTGTACAATGCGATTGAGCGTATTTTCATCTCCCTTTTAATTCTACCTCGCTGCATTTTCCATTCAAACGCTCTTCAGTACAACTGAAACTTTCTACGAAGACACGGCAGCTTTCAGAGCCTGATCCAAATCCTCAATGAGATCCTCAACATTCTCCAATCCTACTGACAGCCGAATTAAGCTGTCGGTAATGCCGACCTTTTCTCTCTGCTCCGCCGGAACGGAAGCGTGCGTCATAATTGCCCTGCAAATACCAAGGTGAGATTATAGAGCTTAAGTCATATAAACTCTTTGACTTCTGCAAAGATGATTTGTCGCGGAAGTTATTATCACTCTTAATGTACATCAACTGACATTACTCAAGCACTTCAAACACATAAAGAACTTACGGAAGTTCTGCCAGACTCTCATATCCACCAAGACTCTCGGCGAGCGTGAACACTTTGAGATTCTTGAAGAAAGCTTTCGACTGCTCTAGTCCACCTTTAATGTAGAATGACATAATGCCGCTGTGGCCATAGCACTGACGAAGAGCCAATTTGTGCTGCGGATGACTTGGCAATGCAGGATGCAGCACCTTCACTACGTAAGGACTCTTCTCCAAGTGTTGCGCAACTTTGAGGGAGCTCTTGTGATGCTGCTCCATTCGCACCGCCAGAGTTTTCAAACTCCTGTTCACTTGGAAACAATCAAAAGGCGATGGTACGATTCCCATTGCTGATGCCATTTGTTGGATTTAAGCGAAGATGTGCATAAAAGAGAGAGAGAGAGAGAGAGAAAAGAGTATTAGATTTGCAGAAATAAAAATCAATTCAATTAAAACTTCTTCATAATCATGCCAAATGCACAAAAATATTTTGATGTTCTATGCTAGACACTGCATATTTGTAGATTATTTCAAAATTTTAAACAATAGCATTGAAAGCTCTGAAATAACAAGATTTCTATTGAATTGAGTCATGCCACACAAGATAATCAATCTCCCACATGTTTCATGAGCCATTGAGCTTTCGCTCAATTTACTCAACAGGACAAGGAAAATCCATTTTCCTTCTCTCATGAAGAGGAAAATAGCTTCCTTTGTTGCCTTTGTATGCTTCACTCACGTTATTGCATATCCTCATCTTCTCCAAAAATGAATTCACTTTTTACCACCATTACATCTCATACATTTCATGTCTGTTGAGTGAAAAACAAATATGTACTTTTTCAACTGAAACAAACTCGAACAATCTACACTGGATTGGCGCAATAAATTGGAATTGCTATCTTTTCGACTTTTCCTGTGACTTCTTGATAACAGAATTCAATTGGAGACTTTTAAAAATAAGTCTCAAGATTGTGGGTGTTTTTTTTTTCACAGAAAATAATTCTGTGAAATTCACCATACATAGTCATACTTTTGGTGCATCCAACAGATCAATTATAGTTCGAGAGTGTGTGATAATTACAGTTTTGCAGGAAGCGCAATCTTTGGTGGATGTCATCGTCACTGGTAATAGCAGCTCCCATAATGATGTCCGAATGTCCGTTTAAGTATTTTGTTACGGAGTGCACCACAACATCCGCTCCGAGTTCAAGAGGTCTCTGAAAGTACGGCGACAAGAATGTGTTGTCCACGACGACGATGATCTGAAGCAAGAAAACCCTTGATTAGCTCAATGAGATGCCAAATCTTATGTCATCCAGATTTACCCCAGGAGTTTTGTGAACCGCTTTGCAAACAGCTTCAATGTCCACGACTTTCATGCTCGGGTTCGTGGGCGTCTCCAACCACACCATCTTCGTGTTAGGCTTTATGGCGGCCACAACAGCCTCAGCATCGGTGGCATCAACAAATTCAGATACAATATTCATGCGACTGGCAACGAGACGCAGAAAGCGGCTTGTGCCGCCGTAAAGATCATCTGTGACAACCAAATGATCGCCGGCGTTAAGGAGAGAGACAATAGTTGTCGTGGCTCCGAGACCAGAGGCAAAAGTCAGGCAGTGCTTTCCATTGTCCAGCGCGGCAAGGCACTTCTCCAGCATGTTCCTCGTGGGATTGCCACTGCGGCCATAGACAAAACCCTGCAAGAGTAACAAAAAAAATGCCGTCTTAATTACTTAACTTGGCAAAGTGATCGTTAATTGAGAATGAAAGAAAATGACTTGATGAATTGAGGCACGAAATAAGGTCATGATCATTCTCTAAAATTCATTTAGAGCAATATGACTTGATGAATTTCCTACTGATACGGAGAATTTGAGCAAATTTCTTGGCAAATAAGGCACTTTATGGTACTAAAACTGCTCTTATCGGTTCTTCTTTATAATTTATCAGTTTACGACTCACTGTTTTTCCCCTTTTCTCGCTATCAAATTAAATTTTATAAGAGCTTGTAAACATTTTACACACTCTTTGCGTCATTGTCAACCAAAGAAGCTGGCAAAATTTGACTATTCATTTCCAATGCGATTACAATTCGATAAACTTTTCTGCCCCACACCCGAAAAATCCGCCCATTATGAAGGAATTGTTCAGTAATTTCTCATCTCGAGCCGGTTACATCTCTGACACTGAAATTCCTTTTGACCTCTCACCGCGAGTCACTGATAATGCGAAAAAACAAACATGAGACGGCATTAAATTTAATAAGAGAATGTTAGATAGAGAAAAGCAAAACAACTCAATTCACGAGTTAATTTGCAAGAAAAAAAAACACACACTCGGCCAAACAATATGAAGTCTATCGCTCATGTGACAAGAATAGATATCCAATCTTTATGGATTTTTGTGGCTTCACCCAAATCGACTCGTATTACTCAGAAATTGAATAAAGACTAAAATGTCTAAAAGCCACGCTCTATGCAATTTCACAGTAAAATTGCGGGGGTTCATTTAACCTGACGCCTCTTTGTTATCGCGGTTATCAATCTCTGACACATGATTGTGTGATTTCATTCAATTTATCGCTCAACATGTGCTCAGGATTGCGAGTAAAGGGACAATTTTGTCATCCATCAATTTTACAATAATTTTGAGTAATTCCCTGCGGAGCACTCAGCGAAATCTACTCGCAGTGTGCCTCTTGTGACACATTTATCGCGCACACCAGGCCTAATCAATCGTCACCTTTCTATAGCTATCAGTCCTACGATTTTTATCAGCAAAATAACTCATAAATTTTCTTTCCTCTCTTCGCGCACTTGCACAAACACAGCAATTACCATTTTAACGTTTTCAGCCGATAAAATCACACACAGAAGATGATTTTGTACTATAATGCTCAATATTGAAGAAACCATGTGTTGCAAAATGCCTCGAAGATTGAATTAAAAATCTCTTTTTGTCACATTCGACTGTCTTTGTCTGGACTATCTAATTTAATTTCCTGTTGCATTTCTTGAATGGAATTGAAATAATTCGAGACAAATGTATGGCTTTTTGAGCTCTGACTTGGAATATATTTTTTAGTTACTTAATTATTCATAAGTTGAAAATTATTATACAAATTGAGACAAATTAAATTCCCGGAATTTCGTATGCAAATTATTTAATTATTACTATGAGAAACATATTTTCGCATGCTCCTCTTTTTTTCTAATATTGTGAGGCATTTGTCAATATGACACGTATGCAATTCATCATTCGGAAGATTAAACGGTCAGATTTGGAGGCAATTCAAAGATTACAAGCTTTCCACCAAAGACACTTTTGACAAACATATTTTTCTAATCTAAATACAAGCACTGATAACCCCACTGAATTTCCCACAAAATGGACTTTGGCGCTTGGATACGGAATTTTCTCAGGAAATACAAGGATTAATTCAATCAACGGTTACACACGTCATCAAAGAGAGAATAGTGTCGTGTTACTTTATGCTCACACTAATATTGTATTGATTTTCACCCGAAAAAAAATAGTAATGATGATGGAGAAAGACAGAAACGACCTGAATATTCCCAACTCATGCTCTGAGTTTCATTTTAGCTGAAGAAAGTATTATTGGTTGTGTTAGCATACACAGAAAAGAATCTGCACAGTCACAATTTGTCATTTGTGGTATAGAAAAAAACGTGCAAAGCAGAATGGGAAGGAAAATAAATAAGAATGAGTCAATATGCTGTCGCATAAATATTTTTTCCCTCGTAGAACAGGTCATTCTCAGTGTTTACCTTATGATTATCCAGATCGTATTGCTTGAAAGTGGTGCTCATCGTAATTGGCGGGATGACAGGATTGCCACTCCACTCATCGGGATCCTGACCAGCATGAATAGCCTTGGTGGCAAATCCCTTTGGCTGCTTCTTGAACTGTGGTTCACCCATGTTCGTCTGCAAGGCGGAAAGCCAAATAGTACTTATTGGATAAATTTTTAAGTGACACCAAAAATGGCATGCTGAGAAAGCTCTCTCCGATCTGGTTATTCACCCCCGCATATTTGCGGTTTCCTTTCACCTCTCTCGCCCGCCAAAGAGCCCTTAGTGGCTTCACCGAAATTTACTCACCTTTTACCCTGCCTTTATTGAGTTGAACTAAATTACTCTCTCTCACTTTTCCCTAAATCACTCTTACTTTCTGCGCTCACAGAGTCGAGTTACATAAAATCAGGAATTTGGCCAAGACTTCGGCTGTGACAGCTTCAGAAGCACACTCTAAAGACCGCGCAAGATCAGAAAAAGCATCTAATCACGAGGGAGAGATTTTCACTCTTTATTCCACTTCTAACTTTTTGCGAGAAAATAAAATTTTATGCCGGTCCTAACGGTGAATTGGGATAGAGACTCGGCAGGAGCGTTGGCAATGCGAGAAACCGAACTGCGAAACACTTTACAAGTCACTGGAATATCGATCGAATTTGCGAATATTTTATACGGCAGCTCACGCGACATGTGATGCTCTGTCTCGCTCTCGGCATGAATACACTGACCTACACGCTGTGTTGTACTACAAGAGGAGCGGATATGGAACCGTGTGTAATCCCGTCAGTGCACGCGGTAGAAAGAGACCACTCGCGCTGCCGCTGAGACGAGAGCAGATGAGTCTGACGCCCCTGGGCCACCCGAAATGACTACCGCCGTCAGTGTAGTGGTGGAGTACGAGTTTTCCCGCGCTTACGCGTAGTCCAGCTACTCGCAACCGAGCGATCATGCTGTTACTGTAAAATTAACACAAATCACGAGATCTTCTCGCTAATTCTGCAAATATTGACAATTATTAAGTGTAATTTACAATTGTAAACTTGCTTGTTTTACACTGTTTACGGCGCTAATGAGATAATGTTGAACTTATGTGCATTCACGGTACAAACTATACTCTGTTGGTCAAGTTTTGTGTTCTTTTCAAATGAATCTTATAACATTTTATGAAGAACATCAATATAAAAGAAAACTTTCAATTCTTTGGATTTGAAAATAATTATTAATTGGAACTATAGATAAAGATTACAAAAGGGTTTAACAATATATTTCTCAAAAATTATTATAACTAACTGAGAAAGACCACAAAGGGATTCCCAGCATTCTCAGTCTGTAATCGTGGATTCAGTTTATGTGCCTTTCTCAGCTCACTGAGTGAGTCTCATTATTTTATTCCCTTGTATTCGCCAGAAAGAGAAAAAGACAGTGTGAATCTTGAAACGCCGGTAGCCAAGGAATTCTGATTACTTTCCCTGTTTCTCAATCATGATGCTTTTTTTGATAAATATTTTGAAGCAAGTTCAAGAGCACCAAGCTGAAATCACGCGTAAATTTTTCCCACGCATGTTCCACGTTTTGAGCGTTGAGCAACGTGCAAAATTCACGATTTCGCACCTCTGCGTTCTATTCTTGGGCACGACGCCGCTATAATTTTCCACTCACTACACTGACAAAAGTGACACGTCGTCGCGAAACGTGCTGAGAGTGAGAAAGATGCGGCACGACAAGGAAGATTCTAAGTTCCGCCACTCACACATGCGTGCTTTCGCGGCCTAAGTGCAACGTCACTCGCGATAATGATAAGCAGCGTGACAGACTGAGATGGCGATACATTACAGAATTTTGTGAAACCTTTTTCAATATTACGTCATCCTTCGCGATGCTTCGAAATTGTGCTCTGGAGATTCACTTCAGCATGACTGTTGAAAATGCTCATCTGAGAGGAAGTGTGGAGAAGAAGAAATCAATTTCAGTCTGTTCATTCAACTTGACAAACACCCAGAATCTACGAGAAATCATGAGATTGTGATATGGCTAAATTGAAGAGCTCATTGGCTGTCCACGTGGATTGGGTAAAAAGTGGAGTTTCAACAGCACCCAAAATAAATTCTATACAAGACCGCGCTAAAGCAGCACGGTCATGGAAGATCACGGAGGTCAAGTTCGTCGGAATCGCTTTCTGTGATATGCATTAGAGTCATTAGCGTTGGAAAAGGCATCCAGTTCTGTGTATTATCAATTTCCATGATTTATTTTCCATTTGCATGCTAGAAAGAACACTTTCTCGGATTTCTCCACAGTTCGATCAGGTTTGATGCCATGAGAAATCACAAGAAAAACGAAAATGTATTTTATTACCAATTTGATTCAATGCCCTTTGTTCTTTGTACAATATAATGGATTCTTGGAGTAAGTGATTTTCCCATCGCAAACCCATTAATATGCAATGAGAATGCCCCGAATGCCCTTCTAGTTCACGAAGAAGCCACTTATCAATCTGACCATGGGATATGTGAAGGCGCTGAATACATTCCAGGAAAAAAGGGATCATTTATTGATTGCATGCGTTATAAAGAGTTGTCCGAAGACCGATTATTTGAAAATTGAATCTTCTTTGGAAACCCGGCAAACTTCACTTTGCTCTCTTTGACGTCCGGAGAGCGAGAGTGTGTGAGTGTGTCCCTTGTGAAAACAAGTCTCCAGCGGAATAATTTGTGAAATTGTTGAGTTTTGAGTAGGAAAAAGGCGCATTTTGGCATCCAATTGGCTCAATTATCATTCTAGTCACCTTCAAGTACATTGTGATAGTGGGATAAGTGCCACCCCTTGGCGTGATAGTAGTGAAAAGCAGCGTGAAAATATTGGCAGACGCCCTAGGAACTTTGGAAAATATTGATTTTTCTGCAGCACATTTTGGTGGTTCTTTTGTTGAACTTCTCCTGCTTCTCCCCGCGGGAAATCCTCCCACGTGTGAGTGCTTATTGATAGAGTTGGTGTGAAAAGTTGTCCTGCGAGAGAAGAGCAGGGAATCCGCAAGACATGGCAGCGGTGAGTCATTGCCTCAGATGGCAGGGATGAGGTGTCTCTCTATTGATTTTCTGTCTTTTCGCAATTTCGTGATTCTTGCAGAGGATGAAGGCCACCAAGTGTCCCACGGACGAGTTGTCGCTGAAAAATGCGGCTATTGTGAGTCCCTACGACTTTTCTGATGACATCAAGTGAGTACCTGAGGAAATTGTGGAGAACAATTCATGTAGCTGACTCACCTCTCTCCTTTGCAGATATATAGAGGTGTCCACTGGGCCTGGACAGAGATTTGTCTTCGCCATCGAGCGACATCCGGAGATCCCGCGCAACGCCGTGGGATTCTCACTGGTGCAGCGCAAATGGGCCACTCTGTCCATCAATCAAGACATCGACGTGAAGCCCTTCAGTTTCGATGCCCGCAAGAATGCTGAGTGCATCGTAAATGTCGTGCTCGAGGTGGACTTTGTCCAGAAAAAGATCACCACCTCAGAGTCCTACGATTCCGATCTCATGGCTAAGGATTTCCTGATGCAATTCACGGGCTTGGCGCTGACAGTGGGCCAGCCGCTGGTGTTCAGCTTCCAGGACAAGAAGCTCCTGGGTCTGGCCGTGAAGACCATGGAAGCGGTGGACATAAATGCCTACAAGGATAACACACACATGGAGCCGAAGCCCACGAGATTTGGCCGATTGCTGGGCAACACGGTGGTGACATTCGAGAAGGCAGAGAACTCTTCCGTGAATCTCGTGGGCAAATCCAAGGGGAAAGTGGTGCGACAGTCGATTATCAATCCAGACTGGGACTTCGGTAAGATGGGCATCGGTGGTCTGGACAAGGAGTTCAATGCCATCTTCAGGCGCGCCTTTGCCTCGCGTGTCTTCCCGCCGGAACTTGTGGAGCAGCTGGGCTGCAAGCACGTGAAGGGAATCCTGCTCTTCGGCCCTCCCGGAACCGGGAAGACGCTCATGGCGCGTCAAATTGGAAAAATGCTAAACGCCCGTGAGCCGAAAATTGTTAATGGACCGCAGATTCTGGACAAGTACGTGGGTGAATCGGAGGCAAACATTCGGCGCCTGTTCGCTGAGGCGGAAGAGGAAGAGAAGAGATTGGGCCCCAACAGTGGCCTCCACATCATCATCTTCGACGAGATTGATGCTATTTGCAAGGCTCGAGGCTCCGTGGCGGGCAACAGTGGCGTCCATGACACGGTGGTGAATCAGTTGCTGGCCAAGATTGATGGCGTGGAGCAGCTGAACAACATCCTCGTGATTGGCATGACGAATCGCCGCGACATGATTGACGAGGCTCTCATGCGTCCGGGTCGACTTGAGGTGCAGATGGAGATTGGCCTGCCGAACGAGGCCGGCCGCTTCCAGATTCTCAACATTCACACGAAGCGAATGAAGGATTTCAACAAGATCAATCCGGATGTGGACAATCGCGAGTTGGCAACGCTCACGAAGAACTTCAGTGGAGCTGAAATTGAGGGTTTGGTGCGAGCTGCTCAGTCTACGGCCATGAATCGCCTGATCAAGGCGGCCACGAAAGTGGAGGTGGATCCAGAGGCGATGGAGAAGCTGCTGGTGAATCGTCAAGACTTCCTGCACGCTCTCGACAATGACATAAAGCCAGCCTTCGGCACTGCGGCCGAAGCTCTGGAGAACTTCCTGTCACGCGGCATCATCAACTGGGGAACGCCAGTGTCGAGTCTTCTGGAGGACGGATCTCTCTACATCCAGCAAGCGAGAGCCGCCGAAAGTCATGGGCTTGTGTCAATTCTGCTCGAGGGACCGCCGAATGCCGGCAAGACAGCCCTCGCTGCCCAACTGGCGAAGATGTCCGACTTTCCCTTCGTCAAGGTGTGCTCTCCAGAGGACATGGTGGGCTTCACAGAGTCCGCCAAGTGTCTCCAGATTCGCAAGGTAAAACAAATCTTTCCACAGCACTCTGTAATTTCTACATGAAATTTGCATTTTCAGATCTTCGACGATGCATATCGATCCACTCTGAGTTGCATTTTGGTGGACAACATCGAGCGTCTGCTGGATTATGGTCCAATCGGGCCGAGGTATTCCAATCTCACGCTGCAGGCACTCCTTGTGCTGCTGAAGAAGCAGCCGCCGAAGGGCAGGAAGCTCCTCATTCTCTGCACGAGCAGCCGACGACAAGTGCTCGAGGACATGGAGATGCTCTCAGCTTTCACATCGATTCTGCACGTGCCAAATCTGTCTCAGGCTGAGCACGTGCTGGCTGTGCTCGAGGAGAGTGACGTGTTTAACAAGCAAGAGCTAATGGCCATTAACAAGAAGCTCCACGGTCACCGGTGAGTTAGAAAGCACTTATTCGCTTTTAGCACTTCTCACTTTCTCCCTAAATTCTTTTCAGTCTCTTCATCGGCATCAAGAAACTCAACGGGCTGATCGACATGATTCGGCAGACTGATCACGAGTACCGTGTCATCAAGTTCCTGTCCAAATTAGAGGAGGAAGGATGCCTTGATGTGGGTACATGTGCACAGTAACTAGAAGTGGATGAATAGCAATTGAATTTATCCGTTGTGCATTTCAATGATTTGTTTTAAGGGTTGTTTGAAGCTGAAAAAGTGATGGCGATCGAAGGCGAAATGCAAAGTGGGCTAAAAAATGCACAACGAGCGTAGAGAAAATCCGCGTTATGAAGTATAAAATACAAAACAACAAAAAAAAACTATATCATGATTTCTGTGAGAAGAGAAGAAAAGCAGCAAGAATATTTAATCACCTCAAATTGGTGCAGCATTAAAGAACATTGTAGCGTTTAGTGCTTCATCCGGGAGACTCAAGAAATGATTGATAAAACACTAGCAAATATTCCCGGGATTGTTATTTATTTGTAGAAATACGTAAAGTAAAATTATTTAGTGTTACATTCCATTTTTTTTTCAATCATTTTGTCTGCCAATTTGTGTATTATAATTGTTGTCTTTGCGTCTGTGCAATTTTGTCAGACACCACCGTGGTATATTTATTATATTATTCAATAAAATATTCCCCTATAATCATGTATGTAAGTAATTAAAGTTGATTATTCTTGTAGGTCAATTAATGACAATTGCAAATTATGAAGAAAGTGTGACTAAAAGTGGTTTATTTGACTATTATTGCAATAATATTAGGATGTAGTTCTCAAAAATGCAAGAAATTTGGTGTTTTTAGGTACTAAATTTGTTGATGAGACGGCGAGTGTAATTTCTTCTGTATAAATTTGATAAATTGAAATTGTGTAATTCGATTTTGATGAAAATTAATAATGCTTTCGCGTGAGAAGAGGCAAAGCTCTTGCATAAAAGGCAAATTTGTCAATAAGAAAAATTGTTAACTATCATTACTCATGGCAATGAGACAAAGGCGAGAAAGTGTAGTACAATTAACAAAGAGAAGAAAATTATCTAAAGGAAAATCCGCCCTCTTCTCTGCATTACATTTATCCTCACACTCAAAATTGCAATTATAAGATACACAATGTAAAAGTGTTGGAAATTTGAATCTTCTTCCCTGGAAATTAAAATTGTTCTAAGGTGATATTGAAAGAAGAGTGAAATAAAGAAATCAGTTGCAAAGTTTGAGCTTTTTGGATCACCCTGTCTAGTAAGAGCACAAGATGAGTATCGATTTTTGGCCACTGTCACAACAAACTCCGATTCTTTCTGTGTAAAATTGCCTTTCTGCTCTTCAAATAGTCAGTGATTGACAGTGAAAAGATAATGAGAATATCTGTGATTCATTTTATGTGGTTTTGAAAATTGAAGAAGTTAAAAATGAAAGGAAAAATCACATCGAAGAGCAACGACGAAAGTCTCAAAACTTGTCGTGAACGATCTACTCCTGAACAGCTAAAGTATCTCTTTCAATTCATGACCACCAACGTGAATTTGATTGAAGGGCGAAAAAATCAGTCAAATTCCAGGACATTCTGGAAGAAACTCTCGCAAGAACTCAACAATCTGGGACCTCCAAAGCGTTCTATTGCCGAATGGAAGAAGGTAGAATGAAAGCTGTTCCTCAGAGTGTAAGTTAAAGGAGATTTTCTTGCAGATTTGGGCATCCAACAAGTTCAAGCTGAAGAAGAAGCTCTCAGTGGAGCACACATCAAATCGAATGAGAAGCTTCGGATGTTCCATAAATTCTCTAGATACTCAAATCAAAGGAGCTTTCGTGCAAAAATCTTCACATGACAAAACTCAATCAGGACATGTTATCAATGGAAAAGTAAGACACTTTTGCAGAATTTGCCTACAATATAGCACTGTGATGAAGACTCTTGAGAGCAGCCTTATGAATATGTACGCTGTGTTGATTGGCAAGCCTCTTGAATCCCATGGAATCACTCTCATCTGCGAGCAGTGCTCTGCGGAACTCGCGCGAGCCTACAAATTCCGACTCCTCTGTCTGGAGACGGAAGAGAAAATCCTCAATCTGAAATCAACAGATGCGCCAAAGCCGCAATTGACTGACTCAGCAGCTCATCAACTATGCAGTCTCTGCGGAAAGATGCTGAAGGCGGAGAGTATGAAAGCCCATGTGAAGCGTCACGAGGCAGATCAAGAGGATCCCGCTCTGCGTCCCTTCGTCTGCAGTGATTGCGGCCGCTCTTATCGGACACTGTGCAATCTCCAGAGCCACATGTCCTACACCCACACAAAGACCAAAGCCTTCAAGTGCCGCCACTGCGATGTCATCTTCTCCTCCTACTTCCGCAGACGTCTGCACGAGACAACGTGCAGACTGCAGCAGCAAACGCCAGCCTTCGCCTGTCCCATCTGCCAGCACGGCTTCCATCATCCCTCCAAGAGAGATGATCACGTGCGCACTCGCCACACGTACGAGAGGCCCTTCCAATGCTCCGACTGCGAGAAGAGCTTCTTCACAAAGAGCGTCCTTCGTCGTCACGTGAGGATCCACGCCAAGGAGCACAGAGTCTCCTGTTCCATATGCAGCTGTAGACTTCGTTCCTGGCGCTCTCTTGCCGCCCACATGACGAAGAATCACTCTGATCAGGGAATTCCCCCACCTAGGCTCCAATTGTGTCAGGAAGCAATCTCAGAACCAAGTTCGGGCAGAACTCTCGACAGTGGAGAAGATAAAATAAATCATTTATCCTAATATTTCCTCCCAGAAACTCAAATTCCTTCTTAAAAATTAATATTTTATGGCTTATGTGGGAAATTCATTTTTTTTTCACCCATTCAATGATCTTTATTGTTACGTGGTTTACAAATCACCGATTCTCATTTGGCATGCCTTCAATACATTTTCTGTGCAGTCAAAAATCACCCACATTAATTTTTGATTGCACGCCAAAATGTATTGGGAGAAAATTCGTCAAATTGTAAAATTTCTTGTGTGACTAGACGAAATACACTGATCATGTAAAATAGAGACAGACCTCTACTTTTGGTCGAATTGCAATGATTACCTTTGACACTGTTCTGCGCACGATGTTCTCTCAGTTAGTTGGCCTTCTTGGCGTCTTTCGTCTCCTCCTTGGCCTGTCCGCGGCCTAGCAGCTTGGCCAGACTGTCCCAAATGCCGCCCAGGAAGAGGGCACAGAACAGATTTTCGAAAGGTATGAAGGGATCGTGAATGCCGAGCAGGATGGACGAGAGCTTGAAGTACACGAGGAAGATGACGATTCCGAAGTAGACGAGGGCGTGCGGCGCGGATATTAAGTCAGTCTTCTTGTCCAACACGAAAATAATTGAGGCTACGAGGGAAGCCTTGGTGTAACTGCAAGATAAAAGCCAAAGTGAGTCAACAGCGCCAAGAAATTCCCTTTCATTCTCAACATACAAGCTGGGCTGCATGAACTCCATCGCCGTGGGCGTCCAGGCGCCACGGATGAGTCTCTCGATGAGCTTCGTGAAGCCCGCCCCGTTGCCTTTGAGCGTGCCAATGATGATCATGATGATAAATGCGTTGGGATAGAGCTTGGCGGCATGCGTGACGCCGTCATGGATCTTCTTGGCGCGGTAAATCTCCTTCATGGCACTGGCGACAATCTTGATGGGAAGGAACTTGCCCACCTTGTAGCCAATGTCGAAGGGCGTGTAGAAGACGATGTACCACACCACCGTGCCCACCAGCAGCTGCGGCGTGTTCTTGAGGGGCGCCAGGATGGGCTCGCCTAGCAGTCCGTTCGCCACCATTCCGCCGGCGAAGATCACCAGCATCGTCGAGAGCCAGCAGGCCAGCGGATGCTTCCGGGAGAAGGCCTGCGCGCCGGCTCCCAGATCCTCGCGCACGGACAAGGCGCATAGCAAACTGTGCGCTATGTCAAAGTACGGGAACATCTGCAAAGGGATCACAGTTCATGAGTCTCAGTGGAACCGCAATTCTCTCGTCAATTTACATAAAAACTCTGCGACAGTAGAGTTTCGTGCATGAAATTAACCGTCTCCATGATGCACGACCGCTTATCACCGAAATTTCCTACCAACTGATCCCACAAAATGTGCTCTGATACTTATCAGAAGGCACACAACAGATGATTTTCCTCAATAGACTTTGAGAAGCATGAGATGAGATATTTTATCATATTAGGAGCCTCACATCGCAGCTTGTGCAAATAATCAAGTAACTAAGTATAGAAGATGGCTAATTATGTTAAGATCACGAGAATGAGGACAATTAAATCACTAAAGCAGCTCGAAAACGGTAATAGATATCAACAAGTGGTGTTCAGCAAAGACCAAAAGCGGCAAGAAAGATTGGTTTCATATTTTATGTCCAATATGACTTGATATTGGTGGATATACAACTTTTCAAAACAGATTTAAGGCTTGAGATCAGCTTCAAATCGAGCCTGCATAATTTCGGGCTAGTCTCAGAAATCTCAGTTCCGCAGAAGTCAAACGGAGCGAGTGCTTGTCTACATTTATCACATCTAATGATGTTTGTGTGCAAATTAAATGATTTTCCACGCTAAATATACCTACCTTAATTTTTATGACTTGATTAGCCATATCTAAGAATGCCTCCGGATCCATGTTTGCTGTCCCCTTTTTGCCTCCTCCGAGTTGTCCAAGTGATTAATTTATGACCTCAGCGCCGGAGATGGTGCCCAGATGTTTATTTATCTAGAAAAAGCGGGGTGGAAAAATTGCATTACTCGCTAAATTTAACCAATTTTCATTGTTTACCCGTCGCCGCGTGTCAACTTTGCCCACCCTTGCGCACACTACTCCACTGGCGCTGGTCGTGTCGTTTTATTTTTAATCCGCGCCGTCTCTGTGTGCGTGTCGCCGATTGAATGGAATTTTCACTCCATACTTTTCACACCAATTTCGCAACTTTCCCACCCAATTTCACCCGCCGCACATTGTCCAGCACACACCACACCTACTTACGTTGCAATCTTCCGTGTGTCCAGCTCAAATCCGACAGGAAATCAACTACAAAACTCCACCGCACATTTTCGACCGAAAAGCTTGAGCCCTGTGATTTTAAATATAGACGCTCATTGGGCTCTGATGTCGCTCGGGAGAACTATGCCCGTCTCCCTCCCACTCACGTGGCATGCGGCGCGGACGGAATGGCGCTGGCGTCACCGAGGAGGAGTCGTCAGGGCGGGAATCCCTTCTTGGCGCGCTTCATGTTACAGAATTCCGCGAAAATACAATACCCATATATTTTTAATAAAAAGTACCTATTTCTAGTACATTTTTTACATATACAGTAGATTATCTGCAATAGACATACAGTAGTAACATGTATAACATACTTTATTTAGATTACAAATATTTCCTTTCCACATTGATATTGTGTTGTGTGTTCAAAAATGTCTAATATTTCCTTCTCAATAATACGATTATTTATCAACTGTTTCCTCTTTAAGTGTTAACTCGCTCATCACCATCACAGGAAGCTAGAAGCGAGCTTAGAACGAAAATTACAATTAAAAAGAAATGAACTAGAGAAACTGAGTATAAAGGGTAATTACAGCATGAAAATAGGCATTTTACGTCCTTTTTATTAGCACTAAACAATAAGAAGCTCTCTGTTGCGCTATTCTCCTGTCGTCCTAATTGAGAATTCAGTCTTCGTTTGCTTCTGTGTGTGTGTGTGTGTGTGTTGAAATGCAACTTAAATTGCTTACAAACAATTGACGATGGACAAGAAATAATGTACAGACACTTTACACAGAGACAACGAGATGGTTTTCTGATAGTAACTTTTGGTTGAACAGTGTGATTTAATTTACCAAGAGAATGTATAACAATAGCGCTGCTTATTCGTCTCCTTAGCTGAAGTTGCAGCATGAGTTTGTCTTTTTCGCTGTCTTGTAGAATGCCTTGCTCTGCACGGACAACTGCTCCGACTTCACCACGAGATCGTCCAGCTTCTCGCCTCGCTCCAGCACGGCCTCGATGGTGTTGCGCAGGATGATCTTCGTCTCGTCCAGGTCGCCCTGGATCTTCGTGAGGGCGTCCGCCTCGCGCGGGTTCTGGTACTTAGCCAGCAGCGCGGGCAGCTGCGTGAAGTTGACTGTGGCGTCGGAGCCTGTGGGCCACTGGTCGGGTGTCACCTTCAGCGCGAAGTCATCCATCACCTTCGTGATGAGCGTGTGCGCCACCCGGCCCGGGTACTCGTGATCGGCAATCAGCACAGCCGACAGACTGTCTGCCCGCACGTAAACATGACACATGTAGACGTCCTGCTTCACGGACTGCCTCGAGGCGACCTGCGTCCTCTCCACTATGGTCTTACTGGCGAAGCTGCAAAGAAACCGAGAGTCAGACTAGCGGCCATCCCTGAATTCCACTCAGCACTCACCTCATGAACTCCTGCACGGAGCCACGCTGGAAGAACGAGAAGCTCTGCAGGTCAAAAGCAGCCTTGAGCAATCGAGCCTCATGTGGTCCCTTGTAGAAAATACTCAATGCGTGTAACTTCACCATTGTCACTCAGCAAACAATGTAATCTCACTGATCACTTATTCTTTTTCGCAAAATATGCACCACTTTTCTCCTATTGGAACTGAAACTCTGTGTCATCTGGAAGTCACTCCTGCCCCACAATTCGGCACTCCTGCCGCTTCTTCAGGCAACTTGCCACTCTACTAACTGTGGCGTTTCACTTGTCGCACTGTGGGGGACACATTTTCTCCAAGCTGGATTGCAATTTGATGGAAAATCAATCAAAAAACAGAAATTTTTCCATGAACACCAAGAAACATCACTGGCAGCTGTCAAACTCACGCGTCGCACGACCTCTGGTGACTGGGAATTTCACTTGAGTTCCTCCCATGCGCCTGCAGCGCTCAAGCGGCTTTTCCTAGAAGTCCATTCAAAAGCCATTTTTGTGCAGCTAAATTTAATTTCCTCACATTCAACAAGACTTATTCATTGATTGAAGAGCATATTGTGCAGATCTGAAGACCGCAAGTTCACCAAAATCTTCAATAAATAATTTTCTGACCAATCGCTACCTCTGCTACAGCAGAGCCTCGCGCGGAAGTGTTTTAATTATCCGCCAAATTCGCTGATCACGCAAAACGTGTTTTCAAACATTCTTTAATTTTTGCATAATTCGCATAAATTCCTCTGATTGTCGTAAGTTTGCCTCTTCAATTATACTGTTATTGTGCTGAATCTTGGCTTTTTGTACAGATTGCGAGCAATAAGATGACAACACCTCGAGGATATGAGAATCTCGTACAGTGTCCGTACAACAAGGTTCACCAAGTTGAGAATGGCAGACGATTTCAGACGCACCTCATCAGATGTCGTCGGGAATATGAGAAAACGCACAGCACGGAGAAGGTTTATTGTCCATTCAATACGACGCATTTGATCAATGAGCTCGAGCGTGGGGTAAGTCTTCCCTGGCATCGCCATTCCTGCAGAGACTTATTATCCCTTTCATTTTGCAGCTTCATATGGAAACCTGCCCGGATCGCGTGGCTGTGGACAAGTTTGTCGCTCCGATCGTTGATTCTTCTAATTCTCTATACAAGAATGATAGCATTAAAATGTTTTCAACACCAAGCACTGCTGACGACTGGGATGCACAGCCTCCAACTGAGGCATACAATCCTGAGAAGTACTGTGAAGAGAACAATATTATCAGGAAATGCAATGGAATGCAGCCGGCACAGAGGAAGGCTTTCCGCCAGAACGAGCATCTTCGCCTTGGCAATATCCGTGAGCACCAGTGAAATTTACTCATTGATTTGCCCAAAACGGGAAACATTTACCACATTTGCTGAATTATTTGATGTTATGAAGATTCAAAAATCAATCTCAATCATTTTAATCCCGATTTTAACAATTACTTTCTTAACTCATTCGAGAAGAACGCTCCTGAAGAGAACGCGACAGATTAAGAAAGAAATCTGCGAACTAAGCAAACAAAATTATCAGCAATCTGCGATTTGTATATGAAATGTTTTTTTTTTATCTTGAGAACAAAGTGAAACTAAATACAGAAGAGTGTTTTGTCACAGCAAAAATGCCAACCATCCCTTGAGCCCTTATTGCAGATTATTCAGAATATGTAAGTTTTGTATATTTATACTTAATTCCCGTCTTGTGATCATGGCAAAATCATAGGTCCTCGTCAACGGCCATACCACGTTGAATATACCGGTTCTCGTCCGATCACCGAAGTCAAGCGACGTCGGGCGCGGTTAGTACTTGGATGGGGGACCGCTTGGGAACACCGCGTGCCGTTGGCATCCTTTTTTCTACCTCCCCGCACTCCTTTTTGTGCCCACCGCAAACCCTCCATCAACAATTAGCAATTTTGCAGAGGTTTATTATTATAAAAAATGTGTTTATTAATTTGTATGCATCCTATGTACATTGCTAATGCATTAGTCTTTTTATTATTCTCAGATTTACGTTGAGTGTGAAAATATATCGTTGTTATTTCTTGTGGGAAGAGAGGAAGTGCTTATAAAAATTCACTATTTAAACATTGTCTTTTATCATATTTTTCCCTCCCTGTGGAAAGGGAAGATCTTGAGGATATGTTCATAGAAAAACCATTTCACTGTTTTATGTGTGTGTCTCACAATTTCATATCGCTTCTTTCAGTGGAACTCTTCTTAAAATCTATATTCTCTACAATACTTCTTCACCATAAATGGGAAAAGGCACTCTTTATCCAAATTCTCATTCATCTCTTTTTTTTCATCTCTCAACATAAGCATGACTTTCTTTTTGGGCTTCTCTTGCACTTGTGTGAACTCTCAATGTCTTTTCCTCCGTTACACCTCATCTCACGCTCATTCACCATCACACGAAAAGTGTAAATCAGTGGCATTGAATTACATAAATTAGTGATTTTGGGGTTTCTTCATACTAACACTACGTTACATTTAACTTTTTATGTTATTCTCCTACTATTAAATAGATAAATTATCACCTTCTTGTAGTCCTGTGTTAAGCACTTATCATTCATTAGTATAACACGCGAATTCCTAAATTCTTTCTCTGTCTTGACCAAGATTACTTTTAGCGAGAAAAGAACTCTCTAGAGAGATTTGAAATGTTGAATATTTTGTAGAAGGCAATATAATCATTATTGCTTTCACGCATATAAATTATTAGAACATATTAATTTGTTATTATCAAGTCCCTAGTACAATTAGCAAGATTTTCCTCAAAGTAATGCGTCTTTTAAGTGAGCAAGAACAGACAGCAAGTCTTGGTTATGTTCCATTCGAGATCGCCACTCTATATGTCAACAATCAAGTTCTGCAGCGGCGTCAGCGTGGCTCCGACGACTTTATTCTCCGGCAGCGTGCGTATCATGAGGAGCCACTTGCGGCACTCATTGCACTTCTGCCACCGCTCTTCGCTGCTGATGTCCACGCCGAGCGACCTGGCCGCCCACGGATCCCCATTGGCTTTGATGAGCGGCAGAAAGTTGGTGAGAATCACACGCAGTGTATCGCATGCCCTCGTGCAGTGGCTAAATGGATTGACAATAAAATTAGCGCCATTAGTTTTATCGCCACAGTCAGGGAAAAACTCTCTCGCGCCCACAAATCGCCAAGGCCGCGCTGATACTCACAATTTACGATCACTTTGGAGCATTTCATACAGTTCAGGCAGCAATATAACGCACATGTCCAGCGTCCAAGATGCTCTGCAAGAGAACAATCGTCAATTCAGGAGAAAATATCATTAAAATGCGTTATAACTAGCATTAACCTCATAAATTCCACTGAAGAGTGAGTTTTATTACTAATAAATTCGTCAAATTGAGACAATGAGAAATATACGATTAATTGTGAGTGAACAATTTTCTCTGATAACCAATGATTGTTGTTTGATTTTATCGTTCAAAATCACGCTCAATATTTTCACTGCTATAAAGAAAGTTCAAATCGCATCCAATATGCAAAAAGTCTGTAAATTTGTTTATTATCCAATAACAAGATCGATCAGAAAATGATCTTCGAGAATATGAGAAAAATCCATGACCTAACCACTAATGATTTGATACTAAATAGAAAAGAATCCAACACAGAATCAAATTTTTGAAGCAGATCTAGCGATAGTTTTTTTCTGTTCATCAAATTATACTCACGATTTTTCCAGAATCGCCCCAAGTAGATCCACGAGAACGGCGTGATCCTTCAGCCGAACACTCTGCCGCAGTGCAATATGAATGTCCTGACCCTTCACGGACTCCTTCACGATCTTCAGGCTCGCGTGCCTGTTGCACAGCTCTTGGTACACCGTGTCATGACTGCTGGTGAGCATCTTCATCTCGTACCCTTCATTGGCGCCCTCCGGCTGTCCGTAGTTCATGATCTTCTGCGGCGGGCGCTGGTGAATGTTGTGATTGCTGTGCTGCTGCTGCTGACTCTTCATGTCCAGCGTGGACTTGGATCGCATGGGCTTCACGAAGATCTGCACCTGGGTGGCGTTGCGATTCCTCAGGTTGTTCTCCTTGTTGATCTGCGCCTGGTAGTCGTTGCGGCGCAGCTTGTTGGACTGACTCATGCTACGCACGGGCGAGCCACCGCGTGAGATCGTCCTCTGAGACGGCACGACGTACGTATTGTTGAGAGGCTCGGCAATTTCACTCAAGTTTGTCACACTCATCGAGTTCATGATCTTCTTCTGCAGGTTCTGCTTCGTCGTGGACGCACTGCTCTGGCTCGTGCCACCACCACGTCGCTCTGGCCGTGACTTTGCCACCACCGTCGTCCGGCTGACGATGGTGTGACTCATTTTGGGCGCATAGTCGGGCGGCTGGGCATTGTTCACTGGGAAGTCCTCCTTCTCTGGGTCAGAGAACTTGTCCACGTCACTCGTGGAGAACTCCTCGATGTTCTTGTTCAAATTGTACACATCTGCGTCGTCGTCGCGATCGAGCTGATAGTTTGTGAACTGGAAAGTGGTGGTGCTGGTGTTGCTGTGGGCTTCTGAACACTTGGGCAGTAGATACTTATCGAACACATCCTCATCGTCGATCATTTCGATGCTCAGGTTTGGCGAGGACATGCCCTCCTCCGCCACCGTGGGCACACTGATCGTCGGCTTCTCCTCCTTCCCAATCGACAGTCTCATCTTCCCGTGGCCCCGGTTGAAGCTCTTTCGCGAGCTCTGGTTGTGACTGAACGCCGTGTTGGAGGGATTGTAGAAGGGTATTATGAGATCCATGCTCATCGCGTGAATGGTGACATTGGTGTTCTCGTAGCACCCGCAGATGAGTTGCTGATTGATCACCTTCATGTCCCCTAGGAAGCTCCACGTCGACTCAATGTGATCGAACTCCCGGTCGGGCTCCCAGCCGATCACTGAGATGCCCGCCGTGCTGCCCACAAACAGGCACTCGCCATTCTCACTGAATGTCACACACTTCACACTGTGACCGGCAAGATTGCTAGGCGAGGCGGTGTTGGTGCGCGAGATCATCTTCTTGCTCTCCAGATCGTACAGATCCACCGTACCGTCATTGCGACCGGCCGCCAGAAGGAACTCGAAGGGATGGAACTGGATGCACGTGACGGAGGACGCGTGTTCCTGAAAGTCAATGATCTCCTTGCTCATCCGGATGTCCCAGATGATCACGGAGCCCTCGGTGCCCGCGGAGGCGATCCACGAGCCATCGGGAGAAAACCTCACGGAGTTCACGTTGGCGATGTGGCCGCGGTACTTCTTGATGCACGACCCATTGCGCACATCCCACAGGCGGATGGTGGTGTCATTGCTCCCTGAGACGATGTACTCGCCGAACGGGTGGATATCCAAAGTCCGGACACCCTTCATGTGCCCGTGGAAGGACGTCGAACTGCCGCCCACATTGAGGTCCCATCGCTTGATGATCCCAATCTCGTCGGCCGAGTAGACGACGTCGTCGTTGTATGCAAATCTGACACAGTCTACTGCACAGTTGTGGCCATCGAGAGACTGGCGAGAGGGAAAAGAGAAAACACGCCATTAATGCGGATTTGGTGGAAAGTTTCATCTCCTCCCCAGAGACAATGATCAATTACCATGAAGCATTTCTCATTCCCAAAGGCCCACAGGTTCACATTGCGATCTTGGCCACCAGTTACCAGAACTCGTCCCGTCTGCCCCACGTCCAGGCACGTCACCTTCTGCGAGTGGGCCTGAATCTCATCTGCAAAGAGAGCCGCACAGATCAATTAGTGCTGGAGAGCGCAAATATTGCCCAAGGAAGACGTCATCGCTCTTCTCGTGTGGCTTTTTTGTGCGGGGGCTTCGCCAGACCTGCCACAAACATAACCTTGTGCCAAAGCCACACACAGAGAGAGAGCAGAAGAGCCTCACAGACACCGTGACTTTTCCACGCGATTTTCCACCACTCACAGATCTTTGATGCCAATTTTCTCGCCACCGCCATGGTCTCAATGCGTTTTTGGATGCTATCACAATAGTTTCAATCACGTCTCGCACATTTAAAATAACAAAATATGAACAAAACAATCTGCAACTGCGACTCCGACAACTTTTATTTTCTCTATGGCCCCGACGGCGCTGTCATTGAGTGCATGCTATAAAAATGACGCAGTCCAGACTCGTCGAAATGCCTTCCAACGGGCGTGTCGCAAAATACGAGATTTATTCTACGGCAGGGTGGAAAAAGTTACTTAAATTTTCTCATACAACTACAGAAAAAAACATAATTCGATTTAGTGTCTTCATGCCATGGTTTATGTAGGCATTTGCGACTTTCCACCTTCACAATCTCTGAATATAATTACATTTTCCTTCCTGACGTCATTTTTCTACACTCGGCTACTGGTCGAAGTCGAAACTGAGCGCCCGTGGCACTTGGGTGTGTGTGTGTGAGCATTGTTGATGATTTTGGGATTTTGTCCGGTGACTGGTTGCATCTCTTTTCTATTCAATTCCCGTAGTTTTCAGTGATATCTTGCAAAAATGTCCTCACGCTACGATCGTGCTGTGACTGTGTTCTCGCCCGATGGTCACCTGCTGCAGGTGGAGTACGCCCAGGAGGCGGTGCGGAAGGGATCAACAGCAGTGAGTGTCCTAACCTCAAACCCATGGAAATTTGCTGGTCATTTTCGCAGGATATCTCACATTTCTGCCCATTTTCCCTCAGGTGGGCGTCCGTGGGAAGGATGTGGTGGTGCTGGGCGTGGAGAAGAAGTCCGTGGCCAAGCTGCAGGAGGAGAGAACAGTGAGAAAGATCTGCCTGCTGGACAGTCATGTTGTGATGGCTTTCGCCGGACTCACGGCGGACGCTCGCATTCTGATCAATCGCGCCCAAGTGGAGTGCCAGAGCCACAAACTCAATGTGGAGGACCCGGTGACGCTGGAGTACATCACGAGGTACATCGCGAGTCTGAAACAGAAGTACACGCAGAGCAACGGCCGTCGTCCTTTTGGCATCTCCTGCCTGATCGGGGGCTTCGATTACGATGGCGTGCCGCACCTGTACCAGACAGAGCCATCAGGGATCTACTACGAATGGAAGGCCAACGCCACGGGCAGGTCTGCAAAGACTGTCCGGGAGTTCCTGGAGAAGTACTACAAAGACGAAGAGGTGGAAACCGAGGCGGGAGCTGTGAAGCTCGCCATCAAGGCTCTCCTCGAGGTGGTGCAGTCCGGCCAGAAGACTCTCGAAGTGGCGGTGATGCGCCGGAATGAACCCCTGCAGATGCTGGACGTGGAGACGATCGAGAAGTATGTGAACATCATTGAGAAGGAGAAGGAAGAGGAGGCGGAAAAGAAGAAGCAGAAGAAGTAGATCGGGAAGCAGCATCTCTTTTCAATTGAACTACAATAATTTGAAGGATTTCATTTATAATAAATACTGAAGAGAAATTCACGAAAGCTCCTTAGTTGTTCAGCACGCTGAAGGACTCCTGGAGTTGACGAACTACGTCAGAGACATCTGAGTGGGTTTCAGCAGTTGCAGGAATTGTACTGATTGACTGGCCTTCGTCTGGGATATCTTCGGCTTCTGAGAAAGCCGCCACTCCAATTTGAGTGTCTGCCAGCAACTCATTGGTCTCAGCTGTTGTGTTCTCCAGCGGCGGAGTGTTCCAGATCTTTGAAGACGTTGCTTGAGGTCTGAAACTGGGTGGGAAAGTGTCCGCATCCTGGATGCCATATGTTGGGATGTAACGTCCGAAGAAGTTTCTCAGCTTTTCAGTCTCCTCACTTCCGTAGAATCCTGCTAAATCTCCCACAACAATTTCCTTGTTAGTTGTTTCCTCTGCAGTAGTTTCCACCTGCCAGGAAGTGTTCTGAATTGGATATGTGCGAATTGTCTTCTTCCCCGTGTCCTCTTTCAGCTTCTTCTTGGTCACTTCAAAGGCAGCACATGTGGCCAGATTGTTGAGCTCCCTCTCCATCTTTGACTGTCTCTTCAAGATCCTGAAGCAAAGATCTGTCTCGCGACGGCTTTGGACGTGTTCATTCTTCAGAAAGATCGCCGGATTCTTCTTCCCGATCTTCATGGCAGAGATCAAACTGATGAGATTAGGATTGTTTCGTCTAAAGTAGACATTGCTGTACACATCTCGAGGATTCTCATCATCAATTGTCTTCATCTTCGAATCGAAAATTCGCCGAAAGCCCCACTTGAAGAGGCTCAGTGAAAAATCAACAGACTTGATGTTAAACACCGACTCACTAGATTGAAGATACTTGTCCAGCTCCTCAAAATCGATTTCGATTGTCTGTCCTGACTCGCCCCACTCAATGGCTGGATTTTCTGAGTTTATCACTTCCCATAGTTTCACGGGAAAATTCCTTTCCGACATCTTGGAAAAATGAGAGACAATGAAATTTTGTTTCAAGCACCTATTGAAATCACCACAACAAATTGATGACATTTTTCAAACTATGTAAAGTATACTTTTAAGTATATTTTCGAGATTATAATATACAAAAGGAAAACTAAGCTATATTGCGACATGCACGACGCACCCTGGAATACTATAAGAGCGGAGATTTATCATATATTGCACTCCACACTTTGATGCATATCTCTCGAGGGGAGTCGCATCCGGCCGTGATGATTTTCTTGCTGTCTGGCGTCCGCGTAATGCACCAAACTGGGCCACTGTGAGTCTCACACTCCAGCGACATCTCCCCAATTCGCACGTCCCACACGTGGATCTGTCCCTTGACGTCGCCCACGAGCACTTGCGTCTCGCTGAGAGTCCAGTTGAGACAGGTGAAGGAGCTGGTGAGCTCCTTCTGGAAGATCACAGTGCCCATCTGATGGTCAGATATGTAGATGACCCGGAAGATGCCCGCTTCGTCGCAACTGGCCACCTTCGAGGCGTTGCCATTGAAAGCAACACCCGTAATTGAGGATTTCGTGGACAGTATCACAGATTGGGTTGTGCTTTCGCCAGGATCTGGTGACTTATTCACAATTGTTGAGTCTAATGTCCACAAAATTATTTCACCAACATCATTGCCTATCGCTACACTTATTCTCGTGTCTCGGCACTTTGCATCCAGACACTCCACCTTGTCCTCCAGGGATAAGTACGCCTTCATGGAGTCAGACATCCGGAAAGAGGGCAGCGAATTCTTGTCAAATCCCTTCCAGATCCTATTCAACGAGTGTTCATGTGAGAAATACAGAAAATACGTGGTAATCCTTCTGATTCTCTTACTTGACACTACAATCCCAGCTGCCAGACACCACCAGACCCAGGCTTGTTATATAGGCTAGACAGGAGACAGCGTCGTCATGAGCTGTGATCACATTCGTAGTCCTTCCGTAGTCCAAATCATAAGATACTCTGCAAAAAAAGCGAAATTTACCAAATAAACAAACAGAATTCACCTTAAGGTCTTACATCGAATTGTCCCAAGATCCCAACACAACAATGTTCACTCCAGGCAGTTTTATGCAAGAACTTATGGGCATTGATGTAACTGGGACGCTTCTCAGTTGCTTCTGATTCTCAAAGTCGTAGCACTTGAGCACGCCATCCTTTCCCGTTGAGATTATACATTTTCCATCCACAACAACGGACGTAATCACGTCTTTGTGCGCTGAGTATTTCACCTGCAGTGAGAGTTCCTTGAGCAGAGGCAAGAGCTCATCATCAGACGACTTGGGAGCACTGGGCGACAGCGAACCGCTTTGGGAGTTAGTCACCACGCGCGGCACGTGCGGTCGCGTGAAGAGCTGCTTGGGAACCTGGCCAAATTCTGAGATTTGCACTTCCAGAGCATGTCTATCGGCTATGTCTGTCACCCCATCCAGATCCACAGCTCCTTCGTAGCAGAGATGGTAGAACAAGTTGTTGGCTTTCACCGCCTCTTCTCCGCGCTGCTTGTAGCCAAACATCAGATCAATCCAGTGATGGAGATTCTGCGACACGTACTCCGACTCCAGAGCCTCTCTCAGTGTCTTCACGAAGATTTCAGGGCTATTTTTCGCCCACGCAGGCAAGATTACATGATTCACCACAGTTCCGTCCGCTCGGCAGCCAAAATTGATCTTGGAGCTGTTCACCAGAAAGTCTCCCTTGGCTTCAGTGTCGTAAAATTCCGGAATCAACTCCTTGAAGTCACTCATGTTGTTCAGACAATTGTTGAACACTTCCTCAACTTTGTTGAACATCCTGTCTGGATGATCAAACTTCCCATAGCAGAGACAGAGCATCAGCTTGGGATACTTCCGCACGAGGTAGAAGAGGACGAAGCCAGGAGTTGAGTAGTGCGATCCATAGAGGAATTTCGGGTCTGCCATCTCGTCGAAACGTTCCAAGAGACGCTCCAGACGCTCTGGATTCAAAGCACCGATCGGTTTCTTCAGATCCCTGAATGTTTTGGGATTTGTCAAGTCGAGATGGTCGGATTTGTAGTCACTAATTACCCAAGGAAAGACTGGATATTGTGTTAGGTCTTGAAATGTGCGGTCGGCGAGACTGAAAAGAGAGACACATTCTTATCTTCTTGTCTGGCTGTATAATTGATTGAATTGATTGTCTGTCGCTTATCTCGTGCATCCCATTTTAATAGCTCTGACTCACTGCAATTAGTGCGTCTCATTGACTTTTCCACCCGATTCTCACCTGTTGAGATACAGAAGATAGTCGTAATTCGATATGAGACCGTTCTGCCACTTGAGAATCATGCTTTCCGGTTCTGGATCGGTATAAGTGAACTCCTTCTGTCTCTTCGTGGCCTCGTAGAAGGCTTCTCTGTCGCTGTCCCGGCGGAAGGACACATACAGATGATCATCCTTGTCACTAGTGCGCCACTGAATATCCAAACCAACTTGTCGAAGCAGGAAACGGCGTTGGAGGAAGCCCGTGATGTCACACAACTTTATCTTCTTCACAAGATAGGGATGGACGTTGTTGTAGGGCTGGAAGTAGATGGCTTTGCTGGACAGCAAGAGTCGCCCGGGATTCACTACAAGAGGTGTAATTTCGTCCACTTGGAATTCTGTGATTACTTCCTCGTATACATCCTCCAGCCAGAGAAGATCGAACTTCAGGCGATTGTGTCTCGAGTACACAATCGTGGCGATCATGCTATTCTGCTCGCAAGCCTGCAAACTCGAAGCTCTGTACAATTGACTGATCTTCGTGAGACAATCATCCACACGGACGTAGTTGAACTCGAAAAGGAATTGCATGGCTTGGGCCCGAAATTTGTACGGGGCTATTGTGTTGTTCTCCAGCATTTCGATGTGCTGATCGCAACTGCGAAGAGAGTGCAAAAACAAACATGAGTCATGAACAGAGAGAGAGAGAGTCAAGCAGAAAAATCCCCGTGAAACCTGATTGTGAGAACGTTCGTCTCGCGCATCTGCAGGGATCCGGGCGGCGAGCTGATGTCAGTGCAGTCCTTGAAGGAGATCTTCACAATGGGCTGACTCACATCTCGCGGGTCATACACCAGAGATTTGGAGCACAGCTTGAGACGACCCATCCGGCGACTCTCATCCACAATCAGCGGCTTCAGGAGGTTCACCGAGAAGTCCTCAAAGTACACCTCACCTGGCTCGAGGAGCAGCAAGGAGAATCTGAAACCACAGGGAAATTCAGTTGCCAACACCTTCGGCTACAAATGGTAGGAGTACCTTTCTCTCTCCATTGTTGTCTTCAGCAAGAAATCACAAAATAAACTGCCGCGATGCGGAAAGGAATGTGTCAAATTGCACAGATGTTGAATGACTGGAATTATGGCACCCACTTTCCAATATCAATTGGCGCGCATTCCCGACTTTCTTCCAACTTCACACGCCCTTCATGTTTGTAAACAAAAGAGAAATTCCGGTTAGGGCTTTTAGTACATTTCCTGTTTTCTAACGGTCCGAATTTGACATTGTCTCCTTGCGTGTTTCTTCCAAAGCTCCCCTTCGCTGAAAAGATGGGGTTTCGTCTGCAAGGCGACTCAAAATACTTCCTCGTGCTGCAGAATAATGTTTTGAAAAGGGATTCTCTTCATTTACTATCCTGCGCTGAGGTTTATTTGCTTCTTCATTGCCTGATAATTGTACATACTTCCATCTTTTACTTTTTCAGTATTTACATGAGTATCTGAACGTGGACAGCAATCTGAAATGGGTGGACGAGGAGTATTGCCTGGAAATGGACACAACGAACCTACACTTGAACACTGTCTTCGTCTTCGAACGCTTTTCCGGGGCTGCATTTGAGCATCTGGTGGCAAATTCTAAAGCACTGTAAGAGAGAATAGAATCACTTTGTAATATTTCAGGTGCATGTTCATCTAATTGCAATCTTTACAACTCCGCAGCATTATTGGAACACCTTGCTTGTGGTACAGCCTTGCCCGGAACGCCAGTATTCCTCTGTGCTGCTCAAGAGCCGTCTTCTCTCTGGCCATGAAAGATATTCAAGTGTATCTGCACGAGTTTCCTGCCACTGAACGTATGGAAGCGGAAAAGCTCATTGGCTGGATGGGTGGCTGCTGTCTCGAGAAACAGGACAAGAACTGCGTTTATCTGTCGATTTACTCGATGAATTTCGATGTGTTCGAGATGTACAAAAATATGGGTAGCAGCGGACTCACAATCTTTGGATCAAACTGGGTATATGATGTTTGGATGAAGAATCACACTCATCAAAGTGTCCTGGCTATCGATACCTTCTTCAATTTGCATCGCATGCCAGTGTTCTTCGGGCTGGTGATCTCTTCGACCAATTTGAGCGATAGTCAGGAGCAGGATTTAAGGAAGTTGATTGAGACTAACGGTGGCACGTACTCCAGTACTTTCGATGGCAATACGCACATTTTGATCATGGAAAAAATGATAAAAAAGATCAGAAATTCTCTGTCCGGAAACCACAGCATTTGCCTAAAGATTGATTGGATCTTCGAGTGTATCAATAAGCAGCACGTCGTGTCCTTTGAGAAGTTCCGATTTTAACAGGTTCGTTCAGCTTGATTCCACGTGAATCCATCAGTATATTGATATAATATACACATTTTGTGATAAATAATATCACTTGTGATAAAAGATAAAATTTGTAATCGAATTTAAGACAATTATTCCTAAACGCAATGAAATTTAAAGAATAAAAGTGAAATTTATTTTAAACGAGAAACTGAACGTCGATGTTACATATATACATATTTTCTTCAGGAATCTTTCCATCTCTCACTGTTTCTGCTTCTAATCTTCTAGAGTGAATTCAGCCCATGCCTCAAACTGGAGATAAAATGTTAAGGTTGAATAAAAGTCGTTCAAAGAATCTTCTAGTCAAAAAGATCATTTTATCAATCACTCTTTAAACTTGCTGGTCAATCTTGCTCTTTAGGAATTTAGCCTATTGACGCTAACAATGAGACAATCGACAGAGAATTAAATTCCTCCCCACAATGGGTCATTGGGACCGAAAGTGTGGGAGTGGATGCCCAAAGAGGCGACAACAAAACTCGCGATAATGATCAATAGATGTAGCGTTAGTGAAGATCAAGATTAACGAGAAATTGCCAAAAAGAAGGCTGTATCAATTGCCATTGGCATCAATTGCAAAGGGAAGATGTTTCGCTACATAAAGTATGATCTTGAGGCAATTGATGGTAAATTAAAACGCCTCTTTAGACTTCTAAATTCCCTGTGACAGTCAACAAATCATCATCAGTTATATAATTACATGCGAATTCCATTTATAGGATTTGGCCAAGGAGGAAATCATGCGAAGATAATGTGGCATTGTTCTCCGGCGTGGCTGTAATAAAAATTCGCAGAGTCGGATACACATGGAGAGAGAGAGCTTGTACTGAGGATTGGGACTGATCAGAGTCTGGTTCAATTGCATCTCGCGACGGCTGGTGATCTTATAAAAGTACCCTCGCACTCACACGGGCTCTCAGTTCTCATGAGAATCTCTCGGTGAGTTGTGGACAAGGAGGAATTGTGCTGTGCCGAAAACTGGTTGATACGCATCTCTAGAGTGCTTGTGGAGTGTGCAGCGCGGGCGACATGTCGTACATCGGCAATGCCTCGGATGTGGAGCAGGAGAAAAATATCACAGAATTCAGGCGGAACAGGAGCAATACCAATCTGACCACCAAGACAATCGGCAGCCCCAAAATTGCCGATGTCCTGTGGAATGACAAGAGGGACAAGAGTGAAGATTCCGACGACTCGGAGATCTCCGACTCGCAGAACTTCCTCGCCAAAGGTAATGTTTCCTCGGCTGCGTATTCTCTGATAAGTAAGGCTCACTCTCTCCTGGCAGGCGCCTTCCTCCTCACGCCATCTCACGAACTATCCATGGAGCGTGCGGCGCTGATTTGTGAGAAAATGAACTTCAAGGGGTGCTTTAGTTTAACAAAGACAGCAACAGGAATCCTCTTTAAATTCTCTAGTCCCGAAGACTATCAGGCAGTCTTCAAGAAGGGCTTCCACAAAGTCACTGGCGCCAGATTCTATAAGAAGGTCGCCATTCCGTGTCGTCCGCAAAAGACATTCACACTCTTCGTCCTGGACGTGCCCGAGGATCTGCCCGTTGAGGACGTGAGGCACTCTCTGTACCGCTTCAATTCCGTCGTAGAGGTCGTGAGGCTGGTAATTCACTATCCGTCAGACAAGCCCGGGCAGCCGACAGAAGGTGAGATGATGGCACAAGCATAAGGGAATCCCTTCTATTCTCGTTCTATTTGCAGGAACATCAACGCCCAAGCCGCAGATCCCGAAGCCGCCTGTGAAAGATGACGCGGATGTGGCTAACCAGAAGGACAGTCCGCCGCCACCAATTAGGATCACCCTGGCGTCTCTTGAGGAATTCAATACGCTCCTCCAGAACGGATTGGACTTCTATGGCGCCACTTTCTTTCCCACGGAAGCCAATCTGCCGCTCACTGGCGCCAGGATCGCCACCAAGCGAGGACGGTAATGCCCTATAGACTAGCACATAGCCGATCACAGCTCAAAAGGTCCCTTCGAATGGAAAGTTGAAGGGCTAATATGAGTTGCATTATGGCCCCTTAAATTTCCATTTAGAGTGGCTTCTCAATTTCTTCTTCTAACACGCTTCCAATCTATCGCATTGCTTCGCTCCAGTAGAGCCCAAAATATCATACAATTTCCAATTAAATGTCTTGATTACTTGCCTTCGAAAGAGCCGAAGAGCACTAAATGAGTGACAATTCTCCCCCAAAATCTTAAGATTGAGATTCATGCCTAATGCGTGTCTAATTGTTCTGTCTCTCCGCAGTATGATTGATGGAAGCATACCAGGGCGTGTTCGTGAATTGCTTCCGGTGTTTGATGCCGCCGGATTTTGTAAGATACCTCCACCGGCTAGCAAAACAATAAAGCCTCGCCCATAATTGATCGCTGGAGTTTGCTCCAAATTGATGAAGGAAGAATCATCATCTTTAACCAACTCTTAATGCCATGTATTCTCAAATTTAATTTGCAATTTTCTTTCCATATGACTTTTTTATTATATTGCGACAATTATTCCCAGGAGAGACTTCCTGAATGTGTCATCGTGAGACAATAGTTCCTCCAACAAGACAGTATATAGCAGCAAATTATTATTTTTTTTTTGTATCGTATCTCGCCATGTATTCCTATTATTGCCCCGGGGACGCCGACTGACATGAGCTATATTTTATAATGACATGATATATTTCATAATGAGTTTATTTTCATGGATCACTAACAAACTATTCAATAAACTGATCGAGAATTTTCACTGTCAAATTATGTCTTAGCCTCCACTCGACTCCCACTCCCTGGATTTTCTATCTTCTTCACCAGATTCGTCTGCGGAATCGCCTTTCGGCGGGAGATTTGGTCGAATGACATGTAAGGCCGCAGAGGATCGGGAATATTCACAGTGCCATTGTCATTCTGGAAGGCCTCCAGGATGGCTATCAGCATCCGAGGCACAGCACAAGCTGTCCCATTGACGGTGTGAGCGAAATCTCCCGAGGGCAGCCTGATACCCAAGCGACGCGCCTGATAATCCGTGCAGTTGCTGCAACTGGAGATTTCGCCATAATCTGACCGGCCCTCCATGAAAGCCTCAATGTCGTACTTCCTGTACGCCGGGGCGCCCAATTCCGGCGGAGGCATGTCCAGAATCTTGAAGTGCAGTCCCAACTCACTGAAGAGCTCCACTTGAATATTCCTGCAAAATATTAACGGCAATGCTTTATTTTAATTTCTCTTCTCAAACTTCACAATCAATCCATCTCGCGACTGTAAAATCAATGAACGCGGATCAATGACAAATGGCTTGCAATTGGGGGATTCTTTGATGATAAAGTCCTTTACAAGACTCGCCAAAGCGAATTTTGTCTGCATAAGACCAAATCTCATTCCCACACAAATCCTGGGACCCTCGCCAAAAGGTAAGTAAGAGCATTTTGGTCGCTTATTGATCTCCTCATCGGTGAAGCGCAGTGGATCGAATACTTCAGGATCAGGGAAGATCTCAGGATCACTGAATTGCATAAAACATAAATTAATAAGACAAACTCTCTATCACTCAGTATGAAACTCACTGATGAATAGAATAAAGAGGGACAAGCACGGAAGTTCCTGGCTCCAAAACCACTGGTTTCTTATGTCCAGGCAATGTGGGCATCACATAAGATTTCGTACATGTTTTGTGCAATGCTAGAGCTGGCGGATTGAGCCTGAGCGTCTCTTGAATCACCATATCTAAGTACTTCATTTCGCTAAGAGCTTCATAAGAAAATTGATTATCGTGTTTCTCCAGAACTTTCACTATTTCTTCGTGGAGTTTCTTCTGAACATCTGGATTGCGTCCAACTTCCCACAGAACAAACGAAAGAACTGTGCTTGAACTTTCATATCCATCGACAAAGAAGGAAATCGCATGGCCAGTGATTTGATCAACAGATAAGTTGTATTTGTCTTGAACACTCAGCAATATTTGCAACATATCTTCATGTGGAAGCTTCTTATTTTGTCGCGATTTCAAATTCTCCCTCACGAGCTTTCTAATCCATTGGTCAACATCCTTCGGCAGGAGCGATAGAGTCATTATTTTAACAAAGAATGGGAAGAAAAATAATAGCATAAATTTGATTCCCATCCAGAACGAAGGCTGAAACATTTTCTTTCCCATCTCGCGGTATTCGCATTTAGGGTTTTCAAAGCAATTCGCATTCAGACTGAATGCACAGGAAACCACATTTTCCGTTGTGAATTTAGCAGATACCTGAAAAGCAATATATTGATTAGATTTTGTTTAGTTGTGATAAGAGTTGTGAAATTGAACCTACGCTTTTAGCGTCGACGTCATCACTGCCTTGTCGTTCAATGTATTTTATCAACTTATCGCACGCTGTTTGCATAATTGGAAATACACCTTTTATCTGCAGAAGCAAATTTAAAATGAAAGTCATGGAAGTAAGTTACAGATAAGAAGTGAAAACCTTATTCGCTGTGAACATTGGAGACATTATTGCGCGGCTCTGCTTCCATTTCTGCTCATCTTTCTGCACAAATGGATTTTCCCGCACAAGATCATTGGGATCATCATTTATAGCAACATCATTAGCAAAGAATGATGAAAAATCCTTCACCAGAACATTCTTCAGAAGTTCAGTATCCCGGATAAGAATTGCCGGAGTGAAGGACTTGAAGTATCCGACATAAGGAAGATGTGAATATTCTCTACGAATTCAAGAAATTTATGTAATCCTTGAATCAACGTGCCTTCCTAGTACTCACTTATACCACTTATTAGATAAAACTCCCACATGTTCCTTCTGAGAAACAATAGGGCCAAGATTTCCCACCAAAAATGTTGGTTTCGGTCCCGGAACGCCTCTTCTTTGCCAATAAGAATAATGCCACTTTTGCCACAAATACACAAGAACACAGATAATCAGAAGCAAAGTGAGGAACATCTTGAACAACTTTGCGTACGTTCTCAAAGAGAAACAGAGCACGAATGATTGCCTTCCAAAATTTTATTCACGTTCAAGGTTTCGCCTTGGGTTTCGCTGACGAAGTAAATTATCTTATCTATTTTTCTCTCTCTTTAGTTTCTCGGTTCAAATCTCACGATAAATCCATCGCGCGCTTCTGGTATGAAACCTCGAGGATCGATAACAAATGGTTTGCAATTAGGAGACTCTGTAATGATAAAGTCCTTTACAAGACTTGCCAGTCCGAATTTCGTCTGCAAAAGGCCAAATTTCATCCCGACGCAAATCCTGGGACCCTCGCCAAAAGGCATAAATGAGCATTTAGGACGCGTACTGATCATCTCTTCCGTGAATCGCAAAGGATCAAATATTTCAGGATCAGGGAAGATCTCAGGATCACTAAAATTTAGGACATACAAAAAGAAACATTACATTACAGTCATTAAGACGTGTTCTCTTGATACTCACTGATGTATGGAATAGACGGGAATTAGAACCGACGTGCCTGGTTCTAGTACGACAGGCTGCTTTTGCCCTGGCAATTTGGGCATTACATAAGGTTTTGTGCATAATTTTTGAAATCCAACGCCAAATATGCGCAATGTTTCCATAACAACCATATCCAGATATTCCATTTCGCTAATCGCTTCGTACGAAAAACTGTTATCGTATTTCTCCAGGACTCTCACGATTTCTTCATACAATCTTTTCTGGACTTCAGGATTGCGTCCGACTTGCCAAAGCACAGATGATAGCACAGTGCTAGTTGTCTCATATCCATCAACAAAGAAGGACATCGCGAGGCCGGCAATTTGACCCTCAGTCAAGTTGTATTTGTCCTGAACGCCCAGCAAGACTTGCATCATGTCCTCTTGCTTGAGTTTCCTATTCTGTCGTGACAGGATATTTTCCCTCACTAGTTTTCTGGCCCATTTTTCAGCTTCCTCAGAGAAAACAGCAATAGAAAAGATCTTAGCGACAATTGGGAAGAAGAATAAGGCCATGAATTTGATTCCCGTCCAGAAAGTGCGCTGAAAGATATTTTTTCCCATTCGACGAAATTCACTATTTGGATCTTCAAAGCAATTTGCATTCAAACTGAATGCACACGAGCCGACATTTTCTGTTGTAAATTTCGCACAGAGCTGAAAATGAAATAAAAGAAATTTTTTAAATCATGCATCATAACTTACACCTAACTTACACTTTTGGCATCAATATCAGTAGTTGAGCTCTGCAATCTTAAATATTCGATCATTTTATCGCAAGATGCTTGAAGACTTGGAAAAATGCCTTTCATCTGGAAGAAAATCAATCTCACGTTGTAAACATTTCCATGAAACTTTGCTGGAAGACTTACTTTAGTCGGTGTGAACATTGGAGACATTATTGCTCGATTCAGCTTCCATTTCTGCTCATCTCTTATCACAAATGGATTCTCAGATATTAAATCATTGGGATTGTTTGGCTCAGCGATATCATTGGCTTGGAAAGATGTGAAATCCTTAGTTAGCATATTTTTCACGATTTCGATATCTCGCACCAAAATTGCCGGCCTGAAGGCTTTATAATATCCAACATAAGGAACATCTGAGAACTCTCTGCAAATGTTATGATTTAGATAATGTAAATTACATAATAGAATTTTCCACTACTTACTTGTACCACTTATCAGCGAGCTCTCTACTATGTTCTGTTTGGGAAACAATAGGGCCAAGATTTCCCACCAAAAATGTTGGTTTCGGTCCCGGAACGCCTCTTCTTTGCCAATAAGAATAATTCCATTTCTGCCACACATACACAAGAACACAGAGAATCAGAAGTAAAGTGAAGAACATTGTATTAATCGCAACCGAACTCGTTAAGAGATATCTTTACACTGCGTCTCGCCCAATCCGCCCAATTCCCACTACGAATTCAGCAATTAAAGTAAATAGTCGTTCAAGGTTTCGGTCTCTTTATCTTTTTTTTGGGTACAGAGTATGCGACTACTGTAAAATATACACAGAGGAAATCTCTCTAATGCCTCTTCTCAAATCTTATAATTAATCCATCGCGTGCCTGAAGAACTATTCCTCGTGGATCAATGACAAATGGTTTGCAATTGGGTGATTCAGTGATGGCGAAATCCTTCACAAGACTTGCTAATCCGAATTTCACCTGCAGAAGTGCAAATTTCATTCCTATGCAAATTCTTGGACCGTCGCCAAAGGCCAAGTAAGAGCATTTCGGTCGCTTTTGACGTTCTTCTTCAGTGAAACGCAGAGGATCGAAAACCTCAGGATCAGGATAGATCTCAGGATCACTATATGTTTACAGAAACAATATTTAGAATTATGTCAGTCATGAAAAACTCTGTTAATACTCACTGATGTATCGAATAGATGGGAATAAGAACTGGAGTTCCTGGTTCCAGAACAACAGGCTCCTTTTGTCCGGGTAATTTGGGCATTACATAAGGTTTCGTGCATGATTTATGCAAAGTCAGACCGGCACTATTTAAACGCAGCGTCTCTTGGACAACCATATCCAGATATTCCATTTCGCTAATCGCTTCGTACGAAAAACTGTTATCGTATTTCTCCAGGACTCTCACGATTTCTTCATACAATCTTTCCTGGACTTCAGGATTGCGTCCGACTTGCCACAGTGCAAATGAAAGAACTGTGCTCGAAGTTTCGTATCCATCAACAAAGAAAGACATTGAGTGGCCAGCAATTTGGCTCTCGGTCATTTTGTACTTGTCCTGAACGCCCAATAAAACTTGCAGCAAATCCTCCTGCTTGATCTTCCTATTTTGTCGAGACAAGATATTTTCTCTCACCAGTCTTCTGGCCCACTGATTAGTTTCCTTTGTGAATAACGACACAGAGAAGAATTTCATGATAAATGGGAAGAAAAAAATAACCATGAATTTGATTCCCATCCAGAACGAAGGTTGAAAGATTTTCTTTCCCATCTCGCGAAATTCACTTTTGGGATCTTCAAAGCAATTCGCATCCAAACTGAATGCGCAAGCAGCAACATTTTCAGTTGTGAATTTTGCAGACATCTGGAAATAAATTGAGAGATATTTCAAATAAAAAAGTCAATTAATATTTTTTGTCCTACACTCTTGGCATCGATATCCTTAGAAGATCCTTGTCTATCGATGTACTTTTTCATTTTATCGCAAGATGCCTGAATGCTCGAAAAGATGCCTTTCAGCTGAAAGAGAATGACGTATAGTATTAACAGAAATGACTATAAATCTCAATAAAGACTTACTTTAGTCGTTGTGAACATTGGAGACATTATCGCACGACTCTGCTTCCACCTTTGTTCATCTCTTATGCCGAATGGATTATCAGCTAAGAGTTCATTTGGGTCATTAACTTCAGCGATATCATTTGCGCTGAATGAAGAATAGTCTTTAATCAGTACATTTTTCACAATTTCAACGTCTCGCAGCAAAATTGCAGGTGTAAAGGTTTTATAGTAGCCAACATAGGGAACATTTGGGTAATCACTGTCAATTGAAATTGATTAATTTACGACTTTTTGCCAGTACATAGAACATTTCTATAACTTACTTGTACCACTTATCAGCTACTAATCCACTATGTTCCTTCTGTGCAATTATTGCGCCAAGATTTCCCACAAAAAATGTCGGTTTCGGTCCTGGCACTCCTTTCCTTTGCCAATAGGAATAATTCCACTTTTGCCACAAATACACAAGGCCGCAGAGAATCAGAAGTAAAGTGAAAAACATATTGACCGCGTCCGAATTTGACCAGTGCTGAGTCGCAACTGACTCTTTTGCATATCTCAGTCCATAATAATCAATTGATTAAATTGCCTTTCAAGGTCTCAGGCATAATTGTTAATAGTAGTCCCTCTATTTTGGGCATAGCCACCAGTCACACTCACCTAAACTCCTCGAGGAGCTCATCGGAGGCATTAGGATTAGCCACTCCAAACATTTCCACTTTACTGAACTGGTGAACTCGATAGATTCCGCGCTCCTCTTGCAGTCCAGATACTTCTGCTCTATAGCATCTGGATACAGCCATCACTTTCCTTGGCAACGAGTCTTCCTGCAGTGTCTGTCCGGCAAAGAAGCCCGCCAGAGCCATTTCGGCAGTGCCTGAGAGACACAGTGGTGGTTCGCTGAGCTTGTACACTTGATTCCTCTCTCCAGTGGTGGTAAAGCCGCAGCCCTCGATCATCTGGGCAGGAATAATGTCAGGCACGTTGATCATTTCGAATTGATGATTTGTCAGTCGATCCACTGTGTACTGAAGCAGCGCTTGTTCCTGCAAATCACACAGAATTTTTAAATTATAATGCTGTGATTTTAATCCGAAATGTTCTTACGAGCTCTGCCAAGTCTCCCATTAGGTAGTAACTCTTGTGGCCAGAGAAATTCCCTAACTTCTCCATTCTCAGAAGATTATTCTTTTGGCAGATTGTCGCAAATGGATGTGGTTTGAATGAGAAGTTTCTCTTCTCATTGATCATCTGCAGGACTTTGGCTTCGTCGCCATAATTAACGACTTCCGGATGAGTGTTGTTGGGAATCCTCCCTAATTCTTCATGTAATTGAATCTCCGTCGCTGGATCTCTGCTATCCTTCAATCTCCTGGCTAGCTCATGGGCTTTCCGAATGTCTCCAACACCCTTCCGGCGAGAAATGTTGGCTGTGATTTCGGGGAGATTTTCAGGATCAAGAAGATAAGAAACATTGTATTCAGGCACAATTTCACCGGATTTCACTTCAGTTTTCAGAGATGTTGTGAATGTTCTCTGAAAGATCAACAAATTTCGCAATTTCACACAGTTTCTGACCAATTGCATTGCGAAAACACGCGTCAATTTATTCGGGAAGCTGCGAATCAAAATATTTTGAACCGGCTAACATGTGATTTTGACAATTGATTGTAAACAAAGAATATAACCTCAATTTTTTATAGCAACTTTTCCACTATTCTGGGATTCACCGAGTTTCTACATTTTCGTCATTTTTCCCTTTGTCAATGAAAGTGAATCGTGTTTTTTCAACTGCACTAGTTAGATTAGTAGATTAGGTGCTAGTTCGACATGAAAGTTACAGATTTTTACTGTGCTTTGGGCATTTTCCTTCTGATCTTAGCGGATTCCGCACTGTGGTAAGAACAGCTGTGATGCAAAAACATTTCGAATCCATCATGATTTTCCTTATTTCTCTCTATTTCAGTCAATTTCTCAGAACTGAGTCCACATGGAAGAGCAATGGTCACAACAATCACACAAATGTCACATGCGATAAGCATTTGAGTCACTTTGAAGACGCCTCCAAAGACTTTACCACACAGCTTCTTCTCAATGCCGTCCCGGTGACTTATTGTAACAAATCTGTGAAGCAATACTTGCGGTTTGAGGAAACTTACAAGGACCTCTTGACGGCAGTGGACAGGACCAATGTATCTTGCAAGGATATCTACTTCAATGTGGATCGTCTGGGCGTTGTGGAAACAATATACAATCAGCTGCATCAGATGTGGCTGGTGGGATTCTGCGACGATTGCTACGCCAATGTGTCCTCAGCCAGTCTCTCGAACACGACGAAGGACTTCTACTACTACTTGGAGAGTATACAGCAGTGCATCAGTGATAACAAAGCCTCCGATCCCTGTCTCAAGTGCATGGGAAGCTATCAGAAGTTGAACGACTTCTTCGATGGCATAAAGAAGGAGAAGGAAGATCGCATCTGCTTTGATCTGCAGGATGCCATGAATCGCACGAGGATTAAGTGGTCGGTTGAGCTCAACTGCTGTCGGGATAGAAATTCCTCATTGCTCTTCTTCTACATCATAAGTGGTCTGATAGGAATTCTTCCGGGAATTTTTTACTTAGTAGTTTTCATATGGCAACGACATCAGGAGCGTTACGATTTACTCACTGATGACCAAGATATTACAGCTTCTGCAGAGACTGGGAGTGCCAGCATCCAAAATGTGTCTCCGAACCACGAGGAGAGTCAACCAGGACCTTCTCGAGTCAACACGTCATTGCCTACGGATGATTCCGGCGATGCCAGCAAGAAAAAAGCCCAGCAATCAGTGGATGAGTCAGACGACGATATGATTGCGAACTATTCTAAGTGAGTGAGTGCATGTGTTTTCCATTTAAACTAAAAGCCAGAGATTTATTATCTCATGTCTATTACATTAAATCGTACAATGTGGATTGAAAGTAAGAGAATGCAGAAAATTTCATAGCAAATATATCGATCATTCTTCGAAATATCTTTCGTAAAATATTCACATTGATTCCCATCAATATCGTATTGTGAAATTATGTATCATAGTATAATTATTTCATATATGACTAGATATGTTAATATAACATTCAATTTCTTCTCATGACGACCATCAGCCTCTGTTTTGGCTCTCTGTTTCCTCCCCTTTTTCACGCACACACATAGCACAATGACTCCATTTACTGGATACTGCAGTATTTATTTGATAAAAATATTCTTTCTACTTCATTACGTGACAATGGCACTCAATATGCACCATCAAATATTGCAGAATGAGCTATTCGACGCTATTGTCGAATATTTTAACTCATTTTGCAATACTGCATCTTTTAAATTCCTCTTTGCGATATCTGTATAGAGACAGTTCAGTGTCATATAGATAACATTAAACATCTACTTGGTGGATATTCTGATAATAAACGTGTGGTATTTTCCTTTACGCTAATATACAGACCAAATTATACACCAAACAATATTTTTTCTATCTCTCTACTGAATCTTGTGGGGGTGGGAATTGTTGGAATGTTGCTTGTAGTTTGGTTTCAACTGCCTGATTTCTGGGAAGAGTTCCAACATCAAAATTTCCAGCATTTCCTGCAACAGTTACGACAAAAGCAAATCAGTCTGAGAAAACCTTCGCTAAAACCATGAAAACTCACATAGAATAGTTGCTTATTGTGTGTGACATCCTGAATAGTCTCGAAGATCTTTATTGTTCCATGTTTAGCCGTTTGAGCACCAACCAAGTTGCACAGCACTTCGGGAATGTTGTCAATGAGAAGGGACTTTGCTGCATTGGCTGTCATCTCGCGCATATCATCAGTCCTCTCGGGATAGGCGGACGCCAGAACACCGCCTGGCCAGAAGGACTTCAGCGCCGTGGAGGCGTAGTGGTGCAGCATAGTCTCCTCGAAAAGGTAGTTGACAGTGTCACGGATTTGTCGATTGATCGTGCGTCCGTAGGTGATTTGCACGAAGGATATTAGACTCTTGCGCACCCATTTAAACACTCCGCCCATGTCGAAGATCTCTCCCAGGAGGGCGTAAAGTGGTTCAGCGATGGAGTCCTTTCCACCCTCTCCGTCACCTTTGTGAACTTCAGCATCGGTACTGTTCGCGCCTTCCAGATACGATGACATTTCGTCCTCGCCACTGTCCCTAGGGCAGCCCCAGAAGGCGTCATGTTTGCTCGTCTCCACAGCGTTGCCTTTGAAGAGAGTGGCCAAGGAGAATTTTGATTTCTTCGGAGACGGCGTGACCTGCTTCAGATGGTCGGAGCTAGGACTCAAGAATGCATAGAGAGCCTCACTCTGGTTCAAGTGATCATCAGTCAGAATGAAGTTCAGATACTTCTGTATCTGTCCTTTGGCTTTTTCAAGAGAGCTCTTGTCGTTCTTCTGGAAGAAGAGCTTGAAAGTCATCGATGGGAGCTCCAGAGAGCGAATTTCCCTGCACAGCGGACGAAGTTTTCTGTTGAGTTCCTGAAAATTGTTCAGAGAGCGCAGAACTACCCATCCAGTGGACACATTATCACCATTCTCCTCACTATTTTCACCACATTCCTGACCAACGGACTCATCAGTCTGGACTAAGATCATAAATTGCAAGGAATCCTTCTCCTCATTCACATCAACACTCTGAACTGTGGCCTTCCACTTGCCTAAATTGTCCGCCCAAATCTCTGTTCGCATCAAATGAGCCTCCAATTGATGCTTCTCACCCTTCAACCAGTCCACTTCCTTCTCCAGAATGGACAAGATTTTTGATTCAGGCTTCAGAGAGCATTTCAGCGCCTGCAGAGCTTGATTTTTGTTATTGAGCCTCTCTTGGAGCTGGTCGAGCTTGTTCCTTGCGTACGTTGAGTGGTTAGTGAGATCTAAACTCATGTCACTACCCTCGCTATTCACACTGCTGCTCTCATCCGTAGAGTCGGCATAGTTACTCAGAGAAATATCCTTAATATCCTCAGACGTGAGAGTGTTTCGCAAGTCCAGGTATTGTTGACTTTGCAGAAAAGGTGGATAGTATTTGTCTTCGAGTGTCTGCAAGACAGTCTTTTGGGCTTCATAGAACACCTCAGATCCAATGTCGCCCAGAAGGAAGGCTTCCATCTTCTTCCTCACGCTCTTGTCAATGACAATCTCCGATGACGGAGCCCGAATGTAAGTGTAGAAGATTTCCGCTCCGACCTGGTGTTCTGAAGTCTTTGGAGAGTGCTTCAGTTCCTCCACGGAGGTGTAGAATCCCACAAGAGAGCTGACATGGAGAGGCTCCAGGAAGAGTGTTAAGTATCTCCTGCCCACAACAGTCGACAAAATGTCCAGCATAGAGAGATTCAAGTCTGTCGTGTTGAAATTTCCATCCCATCCCAGTTTGTTGAGATTCCTTTCTGTTTGGGCACGAGCCAATGTTAGCTGTTGAATGTATCTTTTCAGCTTCTGCGAAGTCTTTGACAAATTCCCCTCCTCACCGTCCGGGTCAAGACCTTTAGCCCTTCGCAGATTCTGCATAGTTGTGGCCTGCATGATATCATTCACAATGCTGGATCGCATCATCAGCAACTCATCTACGCTCTGGGAATTGTTGATAATCTTGAGGAAATCCTCAAAACTCGCTGCATATTCATAGCTCCTCTTGCTTATCGCCGCTGCTGCCAATCGAGATTCCATGTACTGCACAATCTTCTGATTGATGTAGTCCGGCGAGGTGAGCATCTTGATTAGCGGATGGAATATCTTGTACGAAAGGATTTCGCTAATGAGATTCTTCAGTGGCGATAGTGAGTAGCCTCGTGGCAAGAGGAATATCACCATTATCTCACTTATCTTCCTGAGGAATTCCAATTCCTTCTCCTCAGACTCTAAGTACGACGCCGTGGCAAAGGTCGGAGCACTTCCGCCATCACTCTGTCTCGCCTGATAGATCCTGATCTTCTCCAGATGCACAGTCACTCGCACCACAATGTCTACAGCGAACATCTTCGGCCCATCGACTTTCACCGCCCTCTCACGCAGCTTCTGAATGGCATTCCACAAGTCTTCCCGCACAACATCCATAAGAGTTTTGGGCTTCCTCACAACATGACCCAGCCATGGTGAGATAAAATCTCTGATGGTGTACTCAATTATTTGCTGCAAGAGTCCGTCAACAGTGCGTCCAAAGATCACTGGCAAACTCGAAGCATTCCTGATGGGCTTTGGCGAATCGAAGATACTGGATCTGAAAGGCAAAAGCAAAGTCATGAAATTGGAATGATATTTTTGCAATTCATCAAGCAAGTCCAGGAAATCTTGCAATGCGAAATTGGAGAGTGCATTTTCTCCTGCGTGTCTCGAGGCTGAATCGCAGGGCAAATTTCAAGGCAATATATCGATTAGTGTCTCTTTTAGGGAATGTCTAAAAGTGGTGAGGCATTTTGAGGTCAATCTTGGGAAGAGTGTGCCTACTTTTTACATTGATAACAGCAGTCCCAGTTACTGACCTCGTCGCATTGTACAACACATTCGATGGCAAGTGACTAGCTTGAGGCTGGCTCTTCGATGATAGCAGACAATGAACATAAATTGTTGCGGCGATAGCTGGAAAAAGAGGAGGAAAATCATATGGTAAAAATGTAAACACTGGAATACGGCGAAACTCACACAAAATCACAAGCGTTGCTGAATACAGGACAAACAGGAAAACATAGAAGAAAGTGGGGTAGTAGAAAATGATTGCTGTGAGGAGAGTCACAATTCCAGCGGTCCAGTAAAGTAAATTCATCTTTCTGGCAGGCTTGTGTGCAATTTCAATGTTTTCTAGTGTCTCTTCTACACAATTGCACTCACATCTTCACACTAATTGCCTGAAGATTCTCTTGTTGTGACTGAGAACGTAAAAACACATGTCTCAATGTAGGGAATTTGGCTAAAAGCCAGGAACACTGAGTATTGTTGCTCACTGCAGATTTGACAAGGAATTAATGGACATCAACATTCAGAGTTGATAAAACTTTCTGCAAGATTTCATTCACTACACAGAAAATTAGAAATTTTTGAGGAAAATACTGAAATTCACTCGAAAATTACATGCAAGTTTCAATCCTCATTTCCCTCTCTGGTCGACAGTAAAAGCGCGGGAAAAACTCCACACCGTATCACAACTTTTCACGCGACGATACTGGTGGCGCAGATGTAGCCAGACGTCTTGTATCGCAATTTCAATGCGATTTTCTTCAAAAGTCCACCTTTGCAATCCTAGATCTTTGTGGTGACTTCCTTGAACATCACTCACAAGAGCACTTTCACTACTTTCACACGGTTTTTCTGCCCGCAACTGAGCCAATATGAGAAAATATTGTGCGGCCGACAGTCTGCAAACTGTTCTACACTGTCAGCCACACTGTTATACGTCCTTGGGACCTTTTTGGGGCGAATTCATTCAAGAGCGTTCAAATTCAAATCCATGACGTCACGAGGAGGATTCACCGAACTTTTGGGTGGATTTTCAAAATACTTTTACACGCTTTATTTAGAAAAAATCATCAAAAGAATACATCTACACTTCTTCATACTGCCAGAAAATCATAATCTATGCAACACTGTAGAAACTATTTTAATGCCCCCCTTTCTAGTTAAATCCCAAAGTTACATTATCACCCAGCTTCATGGAGCTACTTTGTTTCCTCAGTCAGGTCAGAGTGCACGCCGCTGTTGAAGAAATCCTTGAGGAGAACACCACACTTGATGGGGAACAAGCGTGTGAATCCGTTGAGGTACAGGAGGTATTTGGGAATGGATGCTTCCACGAGTTCGCGTCTCTGGGCGGAAATTATGGCCGCAGCGGCCTCATCGGGGCGGATGAGCTTCATAAGGTTCTTGAATCTCATGTAGGGCTTCTTGCATAGGCCAGTGTCCACCATGTAGGGATAGATGGTCGTGAATTTGATCTAGAAGAACCGTTGATCAGTGTTAGAAAAAAGAATGTGAGGAAAAAATATGTGTCTTCCTTACCTTCTCCACCATTCCCTGCATCCGCAACTCTTCGTTCATCGCCTCAGCGAGTCCGCGGACGGCAAACTTGGAGCCACAGTATGGCACGAGATTCTGGAGACCAACAATGCCCGCCATGGAGGAGAGTGACACGATGTGACCGTGGTTCTTGATCATGTCCGGGAGGAAGGCTTGCATCATCCAAAAGTGCGCCAGCACGTTGATGTCGAAGATCTTCCGGATTTCCGCCTCGCTGTGCTGCAGAAATGGATGGCAGGGCATGATGCCGGCATTGTTCACCAAGATCGTTACAGTTCCAACTTCCGTCTTCACCTTCTTGGCCACCTCGAGGATTGCATCGCGTCTCGAGACGTCACACCTACCGAAAGAGCACAAGATAAAATTGCAAGATGAGTAGGAAATTTTTTTTGCCCATAATAAATCACGTCTCTTTCCGCTCATCCGGCAATTGAGCAATTGGTACTTGAATCAGCCTCAATGCTGATGACCTTCCGGCGCTCGCCGATTAACGCCGTTCCCTCATTCCACTTTCGTCAGGTGTATTGATCTCTGTGATGGCGCTGCATTGAAAATGCAATTCCTTTCTAAAGTATGATTTGGAATGTTTGCTCTGGCGGTGAGATTTGAAGGGAAAAACTTCTTTCGCCCGAGTGGAAATCATTGAGAAGCCCCCACCCTTCTCACGGTGTACGCAAAAAGCCAAACAAGTACAGGTGTGCGTCACCGGCAAGGTTCATCTCGCTGTTTAAGATGTTTTTCTCAGCTCTGGCTCGAGTTTCAACTGTTAACACTCCCAACCAAAGACCTCAAGAGCGACTCTACGACCATAAAAGTCTGATTAATGGGCAAATTATTCGATAATTGAATCACTTTGCCATCGATTCATTCACCTCAGCAGCGCTTTTATTTGCCCTAGTGCGACGATACGTTATCAGAGGAGCTCTCATAAAGACATTCTGTCATTCTCTATAAATATTTGACTGTGCAACAAGAAAATGAGGCTATCACAAACTATATGCACTCCGCTTAGCCTGATGACTTTCATCTGCCCATTACTGGGCAATTTCGCACTACTCGTGCTCGTCAATCATGCTAAATGCAGCTAAGTATCAATCGCGTGATAAATAATGGACTGTGAACTTGGAACAGCATTGCGTATCATTGTCTCAAACACCCGCAACAAGTGGATTAAGTACACCGTAACTCTGCACTTGTTACCATCCCACCAGAATATTTTTCTCACCCACCAAAGATGAAGGCCAGTTTTCACGCATTCCTTGAATTTATGCTTTCAATTGATGCTGCAACGAGGTCTTCGGGGATCTTTTTTTATTGAACATTTACTAATTAATCGACAACTTTTCCCATGCGAACTGAAAATTCACGATTGCATCGAACAGATCGCAAGATTAGCAATGACTTATCAAAATTCCAGTAAATTGCACTTATTGCGAAAGCTTTACTGATAAAAAATTGCAAGAAATTCATTGATTCGACCATTCATTAGAAAAGTGATTTGCACTTTATCTCTGAAAACGGGATATTGTATCAAGATTGCTCTCTAAACTCAGTCACAATACCTTAATCGGAGAAATTTGAATAGTTATACCCATAAAGAGATCCAAGGAAGGTAATCAATTGATAACCTTGACACGCGATGAGTTCAAGTATTCAAATCAACTGCCATTAACATTTTCCCAACATCTTCTGATGCTGGTAATTGCCGCAATTTATCAGGTCTGACGAAATATTTCAAGAGTCGATAATTCTCAAATATTACTTCTCGATTCGATAATAACATGCTTCCGCGGGGCGCGTCTGTAAATTGATATTATCTGAGCGCGAAATTTCAAGACAATCGACTTCTTTTCCGCAAAAACATCGCGGAAAATACTGCATTCTTCTTTATAGACAAAAACGAAAATGTCACAATGTCACGCAGAAGAGCAGTGAAGAATTTTAAATTCATTTGCACACTCCTTATTTTACTGTCAAAAACGTTTTTTGGCATGTTCGTCTGTCTATGGGTGTCATTTGTCATTCAAAGCAGCATCGTTTGGCTAATATTTCACGTGACATTGTAGTCAAAGAATTAAATGGAAGTGACGTCAAGATTTTGATGAAGATACTTACACGTACGCATGGGCCTTTCCTTTGCGGGCGCGAATCTCCGAGACAGTTTCCTTGTTGCCCTCCTCGTTGATGTCCCAGCAGACAACAGTGGCTCCCAGAGCGGAGTACTGGAGTGCCAGCTCCCTGCCAATCCCATGGCCAGTGCCTGTGATGAGGACAATGTCTCCGGACACAGATTTCTCTGTCGGGGGTTTGAAGAGCTGATAAATGCCCTCGAAGACGAAGTACGTCCATTGCGCAAAGATCACGCACAGATCAAATATCAGAACAATTGCTGCATACACGCGAGCTCCGGGATTGTTGGATTGTCTGCAGGGAAACAAAGACATCACTAGGAGATCTTTCTGTCTAGGCGCCACACCGTCACAGGGTCATGCAAATGTAACATAATTTCCTCAATTCTTTCTATCTCTGCACCTTGTTTGAGCAGACAAGTTTCTTGACTGTGAAGCACACAAGGAATTTCTCTTGCTTGATATATGCTGCAATTATTCTAGTTCGTATGGTATACGCAGGAATGCTGATGTAATAAATTCTATTAGGTTGCACAACATCATTCTCAACAGCCTCATGTCTAATTTATACACTTTCCATTGCAAACCGAAAAGAGGAAATTTTGGCAAGTAGATTGAATTGCATTGAATGACACTGCGACCTTGCAAATATTCACTTTCTTTTCTGGACAAGCGTGCACGAGTGTTTTGCTAAGATGTTGTATCATTACAACCCACTTATTTATAATTTTTCTAAATTAAACTGCATTTATATTCAGTGCAGTAATATATAAACAACACTGATATATCATAGGCTCTTTTCTGTTGAGATGTTAAGAATAATTTCTCTCTCTATTATAGATTCAAATGTGTTTCCGTAAAATACTAATTAAAATATTGCATATAATTAAGATTGTTTCCATAGAAATTGCATGACTTCACACACTAAAGACGAATCTGGGATGTTTAGACTAAAATTCGCGATATTCTGAATTAAAAAAATTCGCATTTGATAAACGAGAAAAAAGTGCGAAAATTGGGTCATCGAGTGCAGAGCGAGAAACGGAGACAGAAAGATTGGAGTTCTAAATTTAATTGCAGACACGTTTTCAAACTTACACTCCCACATGGTTTCTCGAATTTTGCTCCATCTTCCTCCTTTTTTTACACTACTTTTGGCAAATCACTCTTCACTCTTCTATAACTGGACTAAGAGACGAATTGCGTAGAACAATGGTCACAGTAGCATTAATGCTTTTTATCGTGACACTCTTATCAACACCGCGAATTATTTAAGATAAGACAGCTTATGTGTCATATCAAGAGGTGTAGTTCGTCAAAAATAACTCTCGATACACCGGCAAGGGAGGAGTGAAGAAGAGCGACCCGTTGGGTGCCAGTTGAGCTTGAAAACTGACGCTAAAGCGGCGACCGAGAACGCCGCCAGCTGAATCTCATACAATTCGTCTCTATAGAACGTGTGCATAGTGGGACTGTATGACGCATTGGCCATCGCCAAAGTAACGAGAGAGCCAATACAGACACGCAACTGTTCAAACTCGCCTTTACGCTTTGAACTGTAGCAGCTGAAGGCGCAATATTTGAGAAATGTAAGGCACTTTGGGCGGCACGGGCGAAGAATCAATTAAAAAGTTACTCTACGATGAGACGCCCAGAGATTCTGAAATGAGTCATGCACACATGAGATAGGGTATTTATTAAACCCGTACTCGTTCTATTGATTTCTCGATGGGACATCACGCAACTGGTTCAACACACAATGGCAAACAGGGCGAGTTGAAAAGACATACTTGAAAAAGTTCAACAATACGGCAACTCTTTTCCACAAAAGCATTTCCGCAGAGGCAAAAAATGTGAGGGGCGAATCATTCGGAGTGTTATGTCACACTTCCAGTTTCATAGAGATTTTCCTGCATATCATGAAAATACTTTGCACACATTAGAAGAGTACCCACATTTTACTTGCAATCATTGTAATTTATTCCTCTGAGAATGCAGAATATATAAAATGTAAACAAGTTTATACATCGCCATTAGATTAGTAAACCCCTTTGTTGAGCATTATTATGCTTTGACGCATCATCTGAAGATTTTTGCACACAATTTGAAAGAAATTCTGCTGATATTGTTGGTGTGAATAAAACAGAGAGATGATCAATATTGGGATTCTGCACAGATCTTGAGAAACTGTGCAAATAAACTGCAATAATATGCAAGGCAGGAAGACATCAAGACGATGAAGAAAGAGAGATTCACGCACGAGAATTTGATGTAAAGCGTGTAGAATTTCCATTCAGTAGGTGGTGTTGCAAATGCCCATCAACTCGACCAACCTTGATTCTTGAAGTTGAAACATTGTGATATTTTTCCAGTAATGGAATACACACAAAATTGCTCACCTTCAAAAGACACGTTTGCCGAATAGTTTAGTGAGTACAACAATGTTTGATAATCTCACTTGCTCTCAAATCTTCCCGTATCGTTGTCAATCAGGGCAGTACTTTGCCATGGACTGCAATGTGCGAAATGAAAATAGTAAGAGACCGTCTATGAAACTTTCATTCAAGGTTAAAAGCCGCTGATCGGATGGAAACTTCATTCATGGGTGATCTTCGGGAGTGTCTGCAAATGTGGAACGAAATTTGTATAATATTAACTCGCTTTCAGTATAGTGTAATCTCGCGATCGCGGGTTTCCCCTTCCGTAACACTCAAATCGCCGATTATACGGTTTTTTATTCATCTCTACGATTCACCATGAAGATGAGCTTCTATATCAGGAGAATGATTGCTGTCAGGAAATGTTCCCCAAAAACGCTGTAGGAGAAATTACATTGAGCACTTGACATTGAACATTTTAATGACTCGTTGCGTATAATTTTCAAATATTTATCGTCATCTCCTAATGTTAGTTTCGCCTTTATCGTATGACGAGTTTTTACCTCCTCATTTAGATGGATTACGCTTCTCAACAATAACAATTTCCATATTTAAACATTACATTTCTCATTAGGTCCTAAGATATTCACTTTATCGCAATCAAATGTTGAACTTATTGATTATGAGTATTTTTTGACTGGTAAACCAACAGTGTTGCATTCGAATTAAATCGCCTGCGGATAGACAGTTTGTGGCTCAAGCCTGGAGAGTGGAGAGGAAGGAAATAGTTGCACTCTCTGAAGGGAGGCATTGTCCGAAAGCTTCCAGGAGAAGGGGTTCCTCCGTGACAGCCGTCTGGAAGTCCTGAAAGCTCACTTTACCATCCTTGTCGTTGTCAAACTTCCTGAGTGCAATCTCTACTAAATCACGAACACCCTCGTCCGGATCCTCATCCTGAGGCTGCTTTATCAGGCAATTCCTCAACAGGATGAACATTTCGTCTCGTGTAATGAAACCGTCGCTGTTTAGGTCGTACACTCGGAAGCAGAAAGCCACTTTCTCCGCTTGAGATCCTCGCAGGAAGATCGATAAGCCAATTATCCATCCCTCGAGTCTCAGTGGCATTCCCTCGAATCCTGTGTCCCAAGCGCAGAAAATCCTCTCCATCAGCGTCTCTTCCGTGACAATGTCGAATGTGCTGTGTAGGAGTTCCCGGAAAACCGCTCGGTCGATGCCCTGAAAGTCAAGAGCGCGAAAAGAAATGTATTCTATTGCAAAGCCTTCACACTGTCAAAATTTGGCAATTTGAAATTGTGCATAAAATTGGCGAAACCAACATTTGGTTTGGAGGTTTTACAGCCAATTTAAATCACTCATGAGTTCACGAAGAAAACAAATTAGTCATTTTCTCAGGGTTGAAATTGTGCATTTTTACTGGCTGTCAAAAGAAAATTGCATGCAAAGAACAATTTCTCATTTCTCGTCCAATAAATCTCCCCAAAACGGAACAAGACCCTTAACTACAATTGGTTAAGTCGTGAAATTTAGTGAAACGTATTGACTACACGTGGTTCATTCACTTAACATAATATTAGAATATTTAATAAAGAAATCAAAAGGCGATAAGACATCACTAGTAAGTAATTTGCATTCCGGGATGGGTGATTGCGTGCTGAGCGGCCATAAGAAATTGTGCTGCTAAAAAGCCAGAGGGAATGACATTCTCAACTGATAATGCGCTGAAAAGACACGAATTAACCATAGGTAAATATGTAGAACAATAACAATGGCAGTATATCTTGATTGAACAGAAAAGACATTTCCTCGTAAAATGCTCTTCATTTAAATTAAATTTTACTATATCATGATGACATTTTCGTACGGTTATATATGAACGGAAAATCGCTTCTATAGACTCGCAATTTCCTATCGTGTTCTTACCACGAATCCGCTTGAGGTGGAACGTGTATCGTTTTCCGTGTTATTTAATTAGTTTCCTAAATTCATCACTCATCATTGATTGCCACATTACCACAGGTTGAAAGGCAATTTAATTCCCTTTTCTACACCTCGCATAACTCGAGCAGTTCAGTGAAATTACCAGGCGGCTCCACCTCATTGTGTACACGATGGAGGCGCCGGGTCTTGACAATTTTCAATACACTTTTGCGCTGCACGACCGAAAAAAGGCGTGCGACATGAAATATCGTAAAAATGGAGACAAAATGAATGGGAGTGATTTATGAAAAAAATGTTTCATCAATTTTCTATAGCATTTCAATATGTTGTTTATTTGATTATTCCACCTGAACACAGAAAAAACCGGGTTGAGTTTCAATCTCCCCCCCTCGCCATCCTTATTGTCATACACACAAGATATGGATAAAAATGTACAGTGAAATAGTTTATCAATGCCGGTGCCTCGGGAGCCTCGTGTGGTGTATATGCAAATAAAAGAGGGCCGTAAAATGGCATATAAAATGATTGTGTATCGAAAATCAGGTAGTATTGAATTTTTTGGGGAAGTGAAGTGGATTGAGACTCACCTCGATGGTGGCATGAGGCTTCGCAATTACCGAACCCGGATTATTGGCTGCCAGAACTCTCGATGTAACGTGACAATTTGTAACGAGTTTTTTGTAGATGCGACACAGTGCCTCCAGTTCAATCCTTGCAGAGAGATAGGAAGGAATTTTTAGAAGGCGACTTTCAAGGGGGCCAAAAGACCTGTCACTGTTGTGATTAAAATTTAGTCTCAGTATCAATATCACGTTCAAACACCGCTCATAGCCTGAAAGTCTCACAAATTTCAGTGTCTACCACACTTGCTATTTTTCACGCGCTTGCATACATGGCGAGAGAAAAAAAGTTAACAAACCTATCAATCACTCATTGTTACACCGAAATGCACATCTAGCGTCTACCCATACCAAGATGATAAATTGCACAGAAGCACCCCCGAAAAGTGCATAAAAGGAGAGTGTGAATTTACTTGGAAAAGTGTGTCTTCTTCTTGAGTGACTCGAGGAGTTTGGGATTAATCTTGCCCGACGCGTCCTCCATCGGTGGCTTGGGCTTCTTCCGTCTCTTCTTCGTGGGATCACCACTCGTGGAGGCACCTTGGGCTCCACTCTGGTTGCCTTTGTCCGTGGCACCCGCAGCCTTGCTGTTGTTCGAGGCACGTCTGCCGCTCGCCAGGAATATGGAAACACTCTTCATGATCATCGCCCCACTGGCGCCGCCACTCCGTGCCCCAGGCTGACTAGAGCCGCGCGCACCATCCAGAACTTTTCCCCACTTCGCCATTAGCATGCTCCAACGCGGTCCTCCTGTTCGCCTCTGGCAGCCAGAGAGTGCTGTAAGCACGGAGGCATCCAGTGAGAAAAGATTGTGTCGTGCCACGGCATTATTCAATTTATACCGATTGATATTTTTGTGACTTGAGTGATACGTGGAAGAGGGACAAAAACAAACATTTCTCCGAAGGAGGTTCTATAGAGAAGAAGAAGGAGCTATTTTTGGCCACTTCAGTGCAATACTCTTTTTTTCTCTTTACCTCAAAATACACTTCTCGTGAGTTTGATCAATTTCCCATAAAAAAAGTGATGCCTTTTGCAATGTGCTGACTTTAGCTGGCTTGCGAGGGTGGATGACAGAAAAAAAATACCACATAACATATGGATTGCCGTTTTCTCGTCGTAAGTACTCAATATTTTGCTAAAGAAAGTCATGTGGACAAAGCATGAGAAATCTATTGCATTTCCCCCTAACTCTTAATTCAATTTCCAACAACTTTCCACGAGACAAATTCAGCGAGACGTGTCCCCATTTATCGTCATAAAACATCCAGTAATCGTGCTGAGGAAAATCAATGGTGAGGCCAGGGACTTCATGCTATATCATAGTCATAAATTACTCCCGTCAGATAAAAATTCTTATGCAACAACTTTAGATCAATGCTCCCCATGTGATTAATAAAACTTTCCTCGCCACAAGTGAAATATGATGCACACTGCAGAGGTATTCTTTGTGGAAAAGTTGGCATTTTTCACCCCAAGACTATTTATACCGCCAGCGTGTGGCTTAATGAGGAAATTGCAGAGAATCAACCTGGCGCCTCCATCGCGCCGTCACTGTCCAACTAACCTCAATACGAACTTTTGCCTTGTCTGCCCTTTATTCGCACCGTCGTCGCCGGAAAACTTGCCACGTAATGCACAGAAATGCCTCCTCCCGTGATAATAGGGAGGAATAAAAGACTCACGGCTGGAACCCACACACGCGTAAAATTCACCTTTAGACACGTATATTAATGCACCAATATCCCAAGGAGTCTCCCTTTTCTGGGTTAACCGCACGGATTTTTTTCAGCACCACCCCAGAAGCATGTTGATTTCCGTCACCATGGAAAAGAAGGTATGGAATTACTTGTGGTAGGCATGAATATCTTCTATTACTGCGTAGTGAGTCTTGAGTTTGCTAAAGTTTTCCCATGAATATTGAGTGCATTTTCATATAATTACAAACGTTTTAAACTGCTAAAGTTTCCCCCATTTAGATACATCACGAATGTTAAACAACTTAGCAGAAACTTCACAAGAGATCTCATTTGAGGGGGGTGTATAAATTCTTTGATACCCCTATAAATTTCAGCGTGGAAGTGAAATTGTCTATGTAGCTATGATACTTTGTGAAAAAATACTGCTTAAAATCATAAAGCGTTAAAAGATCAGTAAATCTTCTTGTAAGTATTATGCTAGTGGATTCCGCGAGTTAGAAATATGAGAAGATTATACATAAAATCTGACTGAAAATTTATGAACTTCCTCATTCAATCAATCTGACCTCGTTTAATTAATTACCTGAACTTCCAAAATGCCTTAGTCTCCTCTATTTAGTAATTACATTGAACATCATAACCGTCTTCTTCCACTAAGCAATTTGCAGATGATAAATTAACTTCGTTTAAACTTACGATATTGTCCTTAACCATATTTGCATATTTTAGTCCACTGCGGGATTCCACAAATAGGAAAACTTTCTTAATGGCATTTCGCAAAAGAATCTTTTCTTGTTTATTTTTGACCCTATTTTATTTGTTAAAGTCAAAATTCAGTGGGTGGATTTTTTCCAAATAAAGACTATGCGAAGAATTGTGAAACTACCAGAAAAAGAACTTCTCAATCAACAACCATGAATGTAATTCTAATTAATTCTTCAGCCGAACGTTGCTTTTGTACGGCATTGTCTGAATTAGTGATTTTTAAATTGCCTCAAATAAATTAGTGATTTCCTCTTCTGATGAGGATGACGACATTGCCAGAAAGAAAGAAACACGTTGCTGAATTACCTTAAGAACCCAATTCGCAACTTAATGGTAAATAACTAATAACATGAGATGTAAAAAGTAACTGTTTCCCTCTTGTCGTGCAATTTCTTCTATTTTAATTAAGTCGAACACCTTTTGCACCGCCGCGAAGTGCTTTTTCATCATAGCATTAATTGGTGATATCGTGATTTTCACACAAGACATGAGTTCTCGGGATTTATGTAATTTACCCGAGGATGAGAATGAGATTTACAAAAGTCTGATTAGATTAATTGCAATTTCGGTGAGCTTGAGATGGGAATAATTCATTTTTCACACTTTTCTTCATTGACAATTCAATTTGCAGTTTTGCACAGCATCTGTGAAATATGTGTACTACTTGTATGCATCAAGCGCGCCTGATGGCCGGCCATTCATGCCAAGTTCCACACAGCTGTGGAATATGAATTCTCACCTGTATTTCGAACATGGCAAGATCTCTTTCACACTCATGCCTCGTGAGGGGGAAGTCAGCCAGTGCGACTGCTCAATCGCGATAGTTTCTCTCGCTTCTCGAGCTGCTCATCTCCCTCTAGCACGCACATTTTCCCACTGCACGGGCATTTAATGGATTTTATGAATGTACCTCTGGAGAACACGAAAATCTCCAACGGCGCACAGTATTTGCGCGATGTTGGTCGATGGAGGAGTGCGACTTGCCGCCCTGTCTCCACTCCAACTGCCATTTCCACACACCATCGATTGATCCATTGATTGTGAGACAAATTGACAGTGATAGTGGGGTGTGATTGCAAAAGTGTCGGATGACTCGAGTCAATTTCTGTCCATCACACTTGCGACGATCGATTGTGAGCGCGAACAAAGAGCAGCGATTCTGGTGGGCACCTCCAAAGCCCTGCTCCATGACTGGAGTTCATGACAAAAAGCCACTCCATTTGTGATTGTGTTCGTGACTCTGGAGTATATTGTTTTGCCTGGTGCGCTCAGAACTGGACAAGAAAACCACCTTTGCCGCGCCTCTCCGCACCCCTCGTTCTGGCTTGTGCTATTGCCAACTGGTGGGAATTTTCTGCAGATACACATTTTGTGTTTGTTTAGCATTTTGAAATAGTCTTATCCAAGTGACACAGAAAGACACGACAACAGTCTGGACACGGGTGAATTAAAAGTGTGTGATGAGAAAAATTTACTTTCAGAGACACAATTGTGTGTGCACGAGACTCTTAATTGATATTCAAGAGCTGGAAGCTTCCTAAATAGATGACAGAAACACCTTGAGTAGTTGAGCGACGAAGCACTGGTATTGCAGCATTGAAGCAATTCTTAAATGGTAAAGAGAACTGTATGGCAATTTTCCCTTTCATGTTTATTATTATTTCTCGACCAATCATTTCCTACTGGAAGTTTCTTGTTAACTGTTCTCGCTGTTCTGCAATCTCGTTAATTGCACCAATCTATATGTAATCAATTTTCAATAACTCTGTTTTTTGCCATCAACGCTCTATGGCTCAAATTCCACTCTGGGAAAAATACCTTGGAAACGAATTAAAGCCTCGCTCGAGGGCTATTTTCATGCATTTGGCAAAGACGAAAAATAGCCTTAAGCCGACACCCATTCGAATAGAATTATCTCTGTGAGATATTGCAGTCTATTGGAGTGTCGGCTGTTGCAACAATAGGCCGCTGCTCAATGGAGTACGTGTACTTGCGTTTTTCCTTCTGCACTACATGCTTTCATAACATCCGGGGGGTGAGGGATTCAGTGTCGTCGGCAAGAAACGAAGAGATTGTTTCTACTTTCCTTATCTCATCGTCAAGATCTATAGCACGGTTTTTCATGTTTATTCTTCCTCCATTGAAATTTCACAATATCCACTATGCATTGGTATAAATGAGGTGTACGATAAAAAACTGGATTATCAGACACTTTTCCCATTATTTTCCCAACAAACTCTGCTCTTTTCACCATATTTCATTGCTATTCAGCACAAGAAGTACTATATTTCCGCCGGCAATAAATGTAATGTAAACTATACAACAGCATATGTACTCTGCGCGCAGATACAGAAGCCAACATTTTATTAGATGGCTTGGTGATAAAACAACACAGAGAGTGAATGATCTCTCTTGCTCTAATTACAAAATATTATACCCCAGTTGAAAGATACTGATCTAATTTGCTGAAATGTCTATTTGGAAGGGTTTTGGGTGTCCTGAGAGGAAATGACAAACAGGCAAACATGTCTATTTATAAAAAATATGATATCTTATTTCCCCTGATTAATTTTATTACGCGTCCGTTTAACATATCATTAGCATTTGCATCTTACCTCCGAGCCATGATATAACATTTAAAATTCAAATTCAATAAACTGCTTCTATAATTTATCGTGGATTTATGTGTTGCGCTGAGGATGAAAGACTTTTATTATGAATTTAAGGGCATGGATTTAGTGCGCTTTGACTGTCTGAAAGCTGCGAAGCAATTTAATTTTACTTTCAAGCTGATCTCAAGCTTAAACGCCATCATTATGTACAATATGTATGTGGAGTTTGTATAAAGCTGCTCACATGAGATATCAGATGTTTGCTTCCATTCACTGTGCGCCAGAGGTGACAGTCCATTTTCTTTATCCCTCTCACCGATATCAATTGAATGTTATGACGCACGTGAAGATATTTGAGAAAACACATTACAGAACATGAAAGTTTCACTTCTCATGAAACATACAAACATTTTGTGGTGAATTGTAAATTTCCTCGCAATATCCCGACCACATTCTCTTAGAAAATCAAATAAATATCCAGAGGAAGTGAGTTCTCTGGTATATACTTACACTTTTAAACGCTCCAGCGAGAGAAAAGAGGAATATAAATGTTTTACGCTGATGCTGGTTATACGAGGGAAATTTGTCATCATGTGACTCAGACTTAGTATTCTTGCTTGGCTTCTGCAGAGTCACGAGAAAAACAACACCTCAAGCACGAGTGAGTTTACAATCTTCAGAGCTCTTAATGAATGATATATATGCAAAAGATATGCGAATAGGAATACCAGAGTTTCCGTTCTGTTTCATATGTAATACAGGAAAAATGAGCAGTGAATATAGATATTTTAACGAAAATATTTGCCTCACACAGTCTCTTAAACACTTCTAACCAACTTTAGGCATCGTTAGGCGATTCTATCTTGAAGATTGTACCCACGCTCTTTGGCACAACTTCCTGTCGAAAATTATATTCAGAGAGATTGATTTTCGTTGGCCAGATACCATTAGGATGATTGGACCCATTTCTGGTCCCTCGCAGCAGTACACCCATTAAAATGTGAACAATTTGCTCAGGCTGTTGCGAATCTAATGACTTCAGCTTAATAATTACGCGCACAACAGTTTGTTTATCCATTTTAACAATAACTTTAATTGCACCGACGTGCTAAAAGTGCCTCATTCCCAGTTTTTACGAGTATTACCATTTTTTACCGCTCCGAAATAGTGTGCAAGAATTCTTTCTGCTGTTCTTTGCAACCCAGAAGACGGAGAATTTTGAAACAGAGCCACGCTAGACAGTAAACTATAATAATTGTGAGACGTACAAGGTGCCGAATGGCTGAGAGAAGCATTAAAGACAATGTGAAATTCGCAGCTTTCATTTGACATTGTAGACTTTAGAGTTCCAATTAGTTCGAGACAACAGGCAATAGCACCTGAAAATTCACACTCAACGCCTCACAGCTCATGCCATTAGGCACCGTGTCTGCAATGTTCGCCCATAAAGATCTCATGTCTTGGCAGAACTGTCGTGTGACTTAATTCAATTTTCTCCGTCGTGTAGATATGATTTCTGGAATGACGGAATTTTCATTGTAGCTCGCAATGACTCAATTCGCAGAGATCTTCTTGGAAAATATTACCATACGGCGACAGTACACCTTTCTCTTATCAATTAGAGACACATACATTTTTATTCGCCGGTCGTACAATATCTGAATAATTTCTCTCATTAGACAAATGTGAATTACGACTGTGAAAGCGGAAAAATGAGTTTCTCATTAATTAGCCAAGAAGGACACGACTTCATTTTCAACCTGATTGCAATTCTGCCCAATTACACGAAGTTTTAATAAAGAAATTCATAGTCCATCGGCACTTCCGGACGACGAGTCTTTGTATTCTTGGAATTAAAATAGAGTCTTCAAATTTTATTATTTACCAGTTCTTCTGCTAAAGCTATACAATTTTTTATGCTTCAGAGACTTTATAAAGCATTATTTTACTTGATCGATGCGATTAAGCTCATTTTAACTATGTTCACAATTTTCAGTTATAGTTTTCCTTCCGGAATTTCCCGACATTGCATGTGATACATGAGCTTAATACTTTTAATCAACAATTTAGGTTAGTATTTTACGAATTTCTTGTAAGTGTAGCGCAAAGAGCGATTATTATACTAAAGAAAAGTAATAATATTTGAATTAAATATTAAATAAGGCATAATGACCGAATTTTCAAAACCTTTCTATCATTTCAAAACAGTGCAATTGAGGTGAATGTGCGGTACATGTAACACTTTTTTTTAATAAATATCACCAACTTTACTCATAAATAAACAATAATGGCTCTAATGTCTGCCTCTAAATGTCTTACAATTGCATTAAAACAAAACTTTATTCATTCCCCAAGATAGCAAAAAACCAATTTTTCAAATGTAGCGAATGTACTTTTACTTTCGCCCAATAATAATGTCATTGGGTTGTTCAACGACCCATTGTGAGGAATAATTTCAATATTAGATCACAGCTTTTGGTACTGTGAATTGGAATTGTGTACACAGTCAATATTTGAAAGTTTTTTTTTCCTGTTTTTTTGAATAGAATTTCGGAATGACTGCGCACTGAGGCGTAAAAATGACTTTCCTAGAGGATAAATAAAACATGGATCGGAAGAAATTTCGTTTTAATTCGCCAAATTTTATTTAATTTTCATCACACTTGCCATAAAAGTTTCCCATAAATAACACAATTCTCAGCGAAATCCGGCCATTGAGCACACGTTTTTCCTGTATTCATATCTTCCTTTGTATAATAGCTCCAAGGCATGAGTTGAAAGCACTGAAAAACGGTGGAAATATCATTCAAAAGAGGTAGTTAATTGTCTAATCATGACGTCAACGTCTATCAAAAGCGGCAATCGCAGAATTGGGTGGTGTTCTGGGAGAGACACACACAATAAATTTGTGGAAAATGTGTGTGCCATGCAGTAAAATTATAATTCTACTCCCTTTTTCACTGAAAATTGCGCAATCGAATTAATGAATTGTCCAAGACGGCAATAAAGCGACGAATGAGCGATGAGATAGTGGAAAAAGTGTGTTTGAAAATGAAATGAAGCACCTATTGAACATCGTCTCATTTCAAAACAGCTATTTAATGGTTTTTAGACTTCATCATTCATTGCGAGTATACAGTGGAGTTATGCAAGTTTCGTGGCTTTGATGGAAAGGCAATGGCCGAAGGGGATCAACACAACTCATCCCTAAACCAGTTGAATTATTTCGTGAAAATATTTTCGTTTTCATTTATTTTTCAAATTTACCAATTCCAGTCGGTAAATAACCCCTGAGTCTGTTAATTATTTGTTTGAAGAGCTCAAGATAAATGTTTGCATTGCAAGAGATCAATAAAAAGCAGCGAACATCGTTTTCGTTTCAATCACCTCGACTTCTCAATCCATCTCAATCTCGTCAAGCTTCATTTAATCGGCGTGACTGTTCACTGGGATTGCCTATAATGCTCTCTGGATGTTATATAAATTCGAGGAATTCATTTCCCATAGACTGTAATGAAATTTCCTAAATTCTTTGTGAGAAAAATAGCAATTATTCATCTGAACCCGATTTCCCTCAATAATTCTATTACTCCTGTGCTATACTCCTCTCGAATCTCTATATTGATTCATTTCTTCTAAGCCAACACATAGCGGATTTTCCATAAGAAAACCATTAGTGAAGGTACATTGAGAGAGTTCTTATCTTGCGAATTGCTTCATGAATTCTGCATCTTTCACGCCCCACAAATGGGCGATACTGCTTGAATTTTCATGACAATGGGAAACCACACAAAACAGTCATTCACCGCGACTCCAGCGACTGCATCACGATGGGAATTCTCTTCCTGTTCTTAAGCCAATTTCACGGAGTTCCACCAATATAATGCTCCAAGAGCGTATCAATATTGAATATGAATTGTTATGCCATCCATAGAGATGCCTTTTGATTGTTCCAATAGATAAATTCAAATATTTTTGCAGACATGCTAGTGTTTTTACTTACAACACCTGATTAAGCATGACGCATGATTATCAACTGAAACATCTGCTTGTAAAATTTTCTTCACACTGTTTAACGCTTTCATATCCATCGTCTGGGCACGTATTGAGCGTACGAAGTGCTGCTAGAGCAAGAGTTGTCTTAAATTTCGCACATCGTCTCGCAAAATTTGCGATTCTTTAACTTGAAAATTCACGTAAATATAGAGATCAATATGTGTCGAATAAATATAGACACACCGTGGAGAATTGTTCCATGAATAAGGCTATTTCTGTAAGGCATGCACGAGAATAAAGCACAATTTGTATATTAATAGTGCACTTGGGATTCACGAGTAACGTGGTTTCGCATAGCTTCTGGAGGGAATTTTCGCAGAATCTCAACGAGTGCACTTTGCAGAAGAGTAACTTTTCTAGAAATATACAAAATATTTGCATTTTGAGCACCATCGAAGCGTCGTACTCAGCATGAACATGTGCTTTATATGCATACCTCCAATATATATACTGATTGACATGGGGAAGTAGATAATAAAAAATGCATCGCTATTATTTCGGGTGATTTCTATCGATCTGTCGTGAAATATGCAAGAGTTTCAGGGTAAAAGCAATGCCAATATTAAGATCGAGTGCGGTTGTTCATCTTTCATCTGAATGTTATGACCTTATGCGTCGATAAACAGAAATGCAGCGCTTTTGAACCATCATGAATTTATTGAAATTACCACTACCATTGAGAGATTAATTGCAGTGCCGTGCTTAAGATAATTTCGCAGAAAAGCTACGCATCATAAGGCGAGATTGAGGTGAATCACACGGCGAATTAAGATTCACAGCGAAGTGAATCTACTCTTTTGTCTGGTACATTGTGATTCAGAGTATGGCGACTTTGTGATGTGAAGTCGCATTTGATAATGTGCTCAACCTTCATGCAATTCGATTTCACTTTAATATCACTTTTTTTGTCTGCCTGGACAGAGATTTATTTTCCGTTTGGAGATTTTTTCCTCGAAATCCCAGTGTGATTTTCCCGGTGGAAATTACAGAGCAATTTTGAGGTGTACTGAGAGACACGGCTATGCTCTCTGATTGCTCCCGGAGTCACTGACATGGAGCATATGAAACTGATTGTGCTTTTTGTGGTAGAAAAGAGCCAAAAAAATAATTTTATGCTTTACGGTTAATTTAATGGCATCGCAGTGTAATGTTGAGACGCGGTGAATTAGATTTTGAAGAAAATTGCAACACCGCCAGAGAAATGGTTGGCGTTCGTGAGGACGCGCGTGGTGGGAAAATATTAGCATGCATTAAGATTATTGCAATTTATAAATTCACAATTGATGAGGAAAATGAAACGTGGAATAAAGAAAGTCATTCTCCTCTCGACACTCTTTCAGTTCGATTGTCTTCTTAATTAAATTAGCATGTCTTGCGCCGTTTTCTTGTGGGTTGCTCCATGGCATCTCCAAGTAAGGGAGCAGCTGTTCCATCATCCACACCGCAGAGAGTATTTCGCTCACAGTGTTTTTGCTCTCTGTGTCTTATTGTGCGCCTCACATTGCGAGATGAATGACCGCAAAACCATCTCCAGCCTCCAATCAATGCTCCATCCTGACTTGGCAGCAATTATTGCCTCATGTGAGGGCGTCTTTCAGCTCTTTTACAGTTTCAGATGGTGTATTTCGCCACCCATCCCAAAAATCGCCACTCTGACTCATTTGCCTAATCTCCTTGTGCAAATGTGAAAAATCAACAAGTGAAGCACCTCGGGTGCCGTGTTTTACATCATCATTTGTACCCTATTTCGCTGTGGAACAATGTGCTAAATCGCACAGAAATTCCATAACTAAATATTCTATTGTGTTCCTCTTATCAATGTTGGTCTTCTTTTCCGCCTTGTGGCAACAATTTCTCGCTACAACTCTTCCCCATGTTTTCCACCCATTCAAAAGCATGCAAACCAGGCAAGGAATTTGTACCTTGTTCAGGTCGACAGAGTATTATTTGTCGGGAAAATATGAGGTGAAATTGGAATATAAATTCATCAGTGGAAATATGTTTGAGACGTTTGAGATATTGTCATCGTTGTTTAGGAGAGTTTATGAAAAGTTGAATTGCAATGGTCTCCACTTTAGCTAGTGCAAACCGTAACTTATTGTCCTATTCTCTTTGCTTTCAGATTAAAAGTATTCCGGAAGATCGTGTCGTCCTTCTTGCCTCATCATGACTTGGCATTGGTGGTCTCACTGGTTCTGGATCACACTGACACTCTCAGTGGCGGTTCAAGCCTTGCCCATGAGCTCCGTCACAAGCGACACTCACCTGGCTCAGCTCAAGGTGCTCGAGGCGCGTGAGAAGGTGTACAGCAAGAGAGAACCTCTGAAGTTCCCCTTGGCGGTGCAGACGGATGCTGAAGATGAGCTCTTCGGCGTAGATCGCGCCTTCGCGGCCGTTGAGGTGTCGGACGGAGGCCGCTTGAATTGGATATCGCCGCATCCGCCCGAGAAAGACAAGTCAATTAAGCGTCCGGAGAATTCCACGTATGAAATCAACCTGATGGACAGCAATTCCAGCCACTCGAATCCCTCCATGAATGCCACTGTGGAGAAAACCCCTGAGGATCATGGTGAAAATTCCACCGGAAGCTTGGTGGAGAGCGAAGCCGAGAGGACGGATGAGAACAGGACCGAGAGTGAGACTGTTCGCCCGGAAGTGGATCTCGTGCAGAACAACACGGTGGATTTGGAGGTGCAGCTGCAGGAGAATGACACTCTCGAATTGCCGGGGCGCAGATCCAAGGTGCTCACCGAGTACAGCGATGATCTCAGAATAGCCAACCTCACCACGGAGACGAAGAACCTGCTGGCGCGCTCCGCTGCCTCCTCCGTCACGTCCGTCAACGACGATGAGCTGGGCAGCGAGCTGTCTGTGCACGCCTATTCTGCCCAGCACTCCTCTTCGCTCAATGCCGGAGCCATTTCCGGCATTTGCGTGGCTGTTATGTTCCTGTTTGTGGGCACGGGAGTGATCGGCATGTTCCTCTACCGAAGGCGCTACATCAATAAGCCCCAGACTCTCAGTGAGCCCGACTCCAGTGGATACATCGACGACAGTACAATAAGAGTGAGATTCCTCATGACCAAATCCCATTATGGATCGTCCGCTAACATTCTTTCTCTTCCAGGACAATTCTGACGAGATGTACAGTTTGGATAATGACTCCTTCCTGAATTCTCTGGAGGCGATGACGATCCAAAACTACTGGACGGACAATGTGAAACATACAAAACTTTAGTAATCAGGAATTGAGAGCCTGCCCCCGTCAAATCGCGAAGCAAAAGGCATATAAAGACATATTTCTAAGCTTAAGAGCAAGATTAGAACGAAGGATCTTAATAATACCTAGGATTTAAGTACAAGTTGAGAATTAATGTATTTCTTCTAGCGTCCATGAACCTTGTAATTTAAGTTTTATCTCAAGGCAGACAGAAATAGATATTCTTTTTCGCCAAAATTGTGATAAATGTTAGAGTTTCCGTTCAAATTGAGATGTTAAAACTCTTGCAGTGAGCCAATCAAGTAGAGAAAAACTGCTGTAGCAAACCGTCCTTTTCTTTCATCACACAACTTCCATGAATTTCAATAGATGTACCCATATTTATAATGTTAGAGGATGCAGAATGTATAAATAAATGTGAATCATCCATTAAAGAGTCGTTTTCTTTTGAAAGTGAGCAACTTAAAGGGCAATCGGGGCAGTTCCTGATGTTTGACGGTGTGTCTTTGCTGTGCTGTGAGTTTTTAGTACTAATCGGATGTGTCTCGACTGAAGTGTCCCAGTTGTCCCACAGTCTGCAAACCAAAATAGAGAGGTGTCAGTTCCTCCGTGAATTTTCCAATTTTTCTTAAAAACTACTTACGGAAATCATGTCTTTCCACTTGAGTACGAAGGAAAGACTTCTTGCGATCGTGGATGATATTGAGATCATCGCCAAGTAAGAGGATTTCTCATATTTTTCCTTATGTCAACAAACCCTGGCATTTCTAACCTCAATGTCTCTTCCAGGGAGTTGATAGAGAACACCATCGCTCCCAAGCATCAGAAAATCTCCAGCACTGAACATGCCCAGCTGGTGGAGCTTCTTGTGGCGAAGGATGCCGAATTGAAATCAGTGTTGCAATTGGCGTGCGACCAGACAAAGATTGAGCAGAAGATGAACTCGTTGAGAGCTCAAGTGGAGCTTCAGGACCAAGAAATCAACCAGCTGCAGAAGCAGCTCAAAGAAGCGGAGCAGATACTCTCCACGGCTCTGTTTCAGGCCCGACAGAAGCTAGCCAGTATTGCAAGGGCGAACAAGAAGCCCGTTCCGTCGGAGGAGCTGATAAAGTACGCTCACCGGATCAGCGCTTCTCATGCCATCTCGGCGCCCCTTACGTGGCAACAAGGGGACCTAAGGCGCCCCTATCCGACGGACATTGAGATGCGACTGGGCTTCCTGGGCAAGTCCGATCTCAATATAAATGGACACAACCTGCAGCACCACAGTAGCCTCAATGAGATGCACAGAAACACCACAGGAGGTGACTATCTCTCAATTTATCTAATTTGTGCCTTGAAATCCTTCTCATGAGACACTTTGTCGCAGAAGTTCCCGCCTCAGCGCAGAATCAGTTCGCCTGGCATCCTTCCGGAGAACTTCACATGTCCGTCTTGGCGTCCGGAGGATCGATACTGCTCGACACACGGTTTGATTATTCATTTACGCTTCTGGGAATTCACGTGGGAAACTGACAATGTCTCTCTCTTTTGCAGAGCTCGCAAGAATGCGTCTCAAGTGGAAGTTGAAGTCATGTCCACAGAATCCTCAAGTTCCAGTTCGAGTGACTCTCAATAATAGAGGTGAGCTTCAGAAAAATTCCAATCTTCACTCATTTTGTCATATCAATTAGAATAATGATGATGATGAGAAACAGGATATTTTTTCTCTCGAAACCCTCCCGGAAAATGCTGGGTGGAAACAGAGGAGGGAAAAAGCGCCTCTCACAATCTGAGACGACGAGCCTCCAATTCTGAAAGTTTCCAATCAAGCTTTTCCACCCTGTCGGCAAAAGTGTATTATTTGTGCTTGCCAAGAAAATATTTTTCTCTTTTTGTACATGGTTGTGCTGGAGCTCCTTCATTTTCTCCGCTCCAACATTCTACACGGAGTGTCTATATAATATCTGTTTCCTTCTCTCCACCATTTTCAACACTCTTCGCTCCACCATTTAATAAGATATATATGTACACAATGTGAATATAGCACGCTATATACGAATGACGGTAACGCCAACATCAAGCAAAGACTTTTCAGTTCATCACAGATTCTCAAATTTTCTCGCTTTCCAGCATATTTTTTTTTATCGTGCGAATTTTCCGAATTCCTTTTCCTACAAAATTTACAGTCATTTCACGAAGAAATCTCGTTAACATAAAAAGACTGAACAACTGAGGCTATTTACTAGATTTTTCAGTCATTCTAATCTTGATTGAATATCGAATGAAGGGGCGTTAAAGTTGAAAACAATCATCATTATACTGAGTAAAATTTTAAAATTTCTATATTTTGATGACTGAAAAGTGTGCAGACTAAAATTGAGGCATGAAATTGCAGTGGAAAGTTGTGGACTGAAAGACGAGCACCGTGAGAAGGTTTGAGAAACTGTGACCCTCTCTCGCAGCACACACAAAAATGTTCATCAACCATCTCCAAAAAGTCTTGATTCTCTCTTCACACTGACTGTGTGATTTGGCTCGAAATACAGAGTGTGCTACACACTTTGTTCGATATGAGCGGGTAGATATTGAAGCGGAGAGAAGGAAAATTTTCAACTCAACCTTCCATAACGTTATACAACACAATGATTTGTCGAATAGAGCAGAAATCTTTCTCAAAGAAAATACTTTTCCAAAAGTTTCACTCAACGATGGTGCCTCAAAGAGAGATGACGCTTTTGACTCAAACAGAGAGCGATGCGAAAATGCGATGTCTGAATCAGTGGATGAAATTGTGAATGCTCTTCTGGAAGTTGAGATAAATTTTCGGATGGAGTTCCCGAAAAACCCTAACATTTTCCGTATGGCAAATTATAAATATTTCATGCAGTCACTGCATGGAAAAGTCTTGCGGAATTGTGCTTTCTATATAACTCAAATTTCAAATAAACTCTAATGGAGGAGCTTTTAAGCTTCGAGCGGGATATTTTCAGGTACTTTCGCCCGAAAATTCATCAAAACGAGAACCGAAGAGATTTTGAGCACACAATTAAAAATCCCTCTTCGTTCTCTCTGCAACGAACAACGTTTTGAACGAACGTTTCTCATACACTCATGGCCATCATGGCGCAGTAGCGAGCGTCATTCGCACAGGGTGACGTCTCGCAGCTCCGGAGTTGGAAGAGGCGCTTGGCGAGCGAGAGCGCCGAGCATTTTCCCCACACCCTGTCTGGTGGAAGAGAAGTCGATTTGATATTATGCCCAAGGAATCTGAGTCTGTGCCAGTATAAGAGAGTGGGCTGAGTGTATGTGTTTATGGAGGGTAGATGAGTCAGGTATGCTGAACAATGAGTCGCGGACTGGTTAAGATGTTTTCTTTTGGCGTGAAAATCAATACAAAATTTTTAAGATTTTCAAACGAACACGTTATGAGAGACCAATTTAAGAACTAGTCATAGAGTCAGAGGAATTGTGCTAGGATTGCCATTCAGTAACAGTAAGACAGTAAAAGAGGTTAACGCATGCGATATTCTAAAGGACTCATGAACGAAAATCTCAGGAATATTGCCAGACATTTCTTAAATATTTCCTAAATCTGAAAAGTAGGGAAATTAAATAAATTTTGCATGTCTGTCAATGGGGAAAATAGTATCTTATCCCAGAGAGTTTTGTGGAATTCCTAAAATGAAAAAAAAAACAAGCGAATCTCATTTAATTTTCTTTTGATTATCCCAAAGTAATAGAAGCGAAACAGCCTAGAAATTTGTATAATCACACGTAGAATTACAGTTTGGTGAGGCGAAAACAAATCTAGATAGAACACAGTCAGACCGACATAGTTATTTTCTACTATCACTGAACCTCATTAAATCAATACTTTTGCTTCGGAGCATCACACAGTTCAGCACCCCTGACTTTGCTATGTGCCTCGATAAACTCCGTATGACGAGAATGGAAAATTCTCAACTCAATGGTTGGAATTTTCCCTCGAGTTGCCAGTATGAGAAAGTTTTTGAAAAAAGTCCTTCTCTACACTTCCTCTGCATGGATTTTCATTGGGAGTTGAAATTTTTTAATGAATATCTCGCGGCAACGCGGCTGCTTGGCTGTGATGGAAAAGGCGCCAATTTTTAAAAACTTGGCACTCTAGGCTTTCGCGCTGGTGGCAAAAGCCAATACCAGAAAACGCGGAGAAACAAGCACGAATGTGTGTATGGGTTCACGTCTTCACGTGATAAATCGGGCTTTCTGTCGCCGTGGCTGAACATTCTTTTTATAAAAAGCCTCGGTGATTTTGTGAGGCCGCCACTGCCGCCTCTGTGGAGCTCTTGTCTGCCTCTCTCTTTGGAATATCTTCCCGTGTGAATGTACATTTTCTACCAGTGACTTTCTTACTGCGCCACTGTTGCTCACTGTTCGCCGCACGGGATGAATACACTTTGTGAGAATGAAGAGCACCGGCGATTTTCACATAAATATTTTGGCGAATTAGGGAGAACCTAATTAGCGAACAGATTCCTTGCGTAAGGAGTACATATACAAACAATTTGAAATAAATATCCTCTTATTTGCACCCAACTCAACCAGAGAAATATCAGGATAAAGTGAGAAAACGTAGAAAATAAGGTACTTTCAAGGTTTTTATTGGTAAACGTCCTTCCTTTTGGTGGTGCGCTATTTTGTCAGTCTTTCGAATATTGCTCAACGATTGCGCATTTTAAACGTTATTGACTGAAGCTGGAGCCGCAGCTTCGCTGTGTACACAAAACTTTCAAATATCTGCGTGAGCCCCGGCCAAGCTTCAGCGTTGAAAGCTCCGACAGAAATCTACTTCTTTTCCAATCATGATCGAGAATTAGTGATTAAATTCTCATATATTATTAAAGAAGTAACAAGCAATATTTGATAAGTAAACAGTAATAATCAGAAATTGGTAAATATTTTAATTTCAGTCGATTTTTAAATGAATTTTATTTAAAATAATGGCACAGAGACTCTGAATAATGTCTGTACCTACATTCAGTACAGTAATCCAGTTCTAGAAAAATCTTTGAAAATAGGTAAATAATTCTGCTTTACTCTCGACAATTCAATCAAAAATTTTATTTTTATTGATTATTTTAAAGAAAATATATATAGTAAAAGTATAAACATTTTACAGTAGAATTCAATCAAAATTTAAGTAATATCCGAATTTTTTAAAAACAAGTTGAGTTAATGTTAGTTTATTAGAAAAATCTTTCCATGCCTATTAGAGGCATTTTAATATGTTCCTCATCATATAGTCCACTAAAGTCAAACAAGACTATAGATTTTAATAAAATCATGGCATGTTATTCAAAAACGATTCAGCGAGTTATATTCCGCGGTGCCCTCAAAGAGCACAACCACTATAAGCCATTCGATTTTTTACCACTCAGTTAACATCCGATTGTGTTTCGTTTGAATTTCCCGCTTTAATTTTAAGGCATTTCTGTTGCCTCTGGAGTTGCAGCGTGCAGGATGGAGGTGTGTTTTGAAAACATCATCAAAGTGAATATATTTTTGTCGAGGAGTTTGTAATTTTGTACCCCACTGGCTGGTTGGTAACATTGGGATTTTCAGTGCAGTCGCTGGTGTTCGTGCCTCATGATAGCTGTGTGTTTGTTCCCCCATGAATGTATGGCACTTTATTCGCGTCATCGGTGTTTCTATGTGGCCTGAGAACAGCGAGCTACAGTGAGGGTTTCATATCTGAATACGAGGTGTTCGCTGAATTGTACAATGGAAAAGGTTATCGAGAGAGGTGGCACTGTTTCTTCCCCAATGTAATATTCTCGAGAGTCAGTCGATTGGAGTACGAAAGAGTATCTCGCTCTTCCGAATGCTTTCTGCTCCTCTTGTGGTTTGGGTTCTCGATGAATAAAATACTGACATTCTATTTTCCGAACATTTTACCTATACCCATTCTCATAAATGTATATTCCACGGGTTTGGCGCACGAAACATTTATAAGGATTCCCCGATTTTTGGGTTAACGTAAAAAAATGTTGAAAAAATTAAAGCGAACTTGAGATTGTAAAATGAGTATCCTTTGTTAGCTCCAAGACTCTTTTTTGCTTCAAGAAACACCCTCTGTGTTCGTCTCGTGGTACTAGTGCTTCTTGTATAACGTCCACTGCATTCGCTCTGTGATGTTGGCTGTGTGGGTCGATTTCCACGTTGGTATGAGAGTTCAGGGTGCTTGCCAAGTCTCTTTGAAGCAGCGAAAACACTGTCGTATTAGATATTTTCGTTTGTGTGACTGATGCCTTGCGCATGTGTTGTTTCTGCCATGTTCCCAGGCATTGGATATCAGGAAAGCGTAATGCCGTACTTTTATTTTAACAATTTTGCAGGGATTTCTCGAAAGATTCCATATTATTTGCAGAGAAACAGTAACTTATGTCCATATTAGGTCCCTTAAAGTCAAGTGTTATCGAAAATTGGAATGAAAACCAAGTCTCTGAGTTGATTTCTCTTTCGTCCCACTATATACAAAGTGTGAGAGCGCTCGAAGAACACAAAAATTAGGAACTGTTGAGTTTGAACACGGCACATGTACAGGGTGGATGACTGAAATGTTTCTGCCACGAATTCTTCGCGTATAGGTTAGGATACGAGAGAGCTGTGAGTGAGTTTGTATTTCTTATCCTGTTAGATAATGTCGGCAAAAGAGAGGAAGTCTCAGTGCTCTTGCGATCATAGAAATATCCAGACCTCCAAGTAAATGTTTTATGTAATCCCTTGACGACTTGAGCATTCAAATTAACGGAAAAAGCAGTTTTTAAATGAAGTCCTTTTGTCTGAACATTGCCTTTATATTGGATCTAAGTAGGAAAACAATTTTACAGAAGTTTTGAATTCATTGAATAATTCGGCAGGAATTTTTTAATAATTGAAGAGAATTATTGAATTATTAATTTTTTTTTATCCTGATACTAAATATGGAAGATGATTACTACGTTTGAGATTCTGCCTAAATTTTGTTGAGCGGTTTTAAGTTTTCGCAATTGAATTTATGAATATGCCGAATTGAAGTGAATCATTTCGGAAAGCCACTTATGACGCACCCTGCAACGAAAGGCTGCTACGACGTGTCCTATTGGATGGCGAGGCAAGGCAACGCTGACGTCTTGAAGCGAGAACTCTCATTGGGATATCTAACCTATAAGCCCCATGAGGCATGACTTGATCTAAATTCACGTCTAGGGCTAGCTAATTAAGATATCGAGATCGATTTGGTGATCAATCTGAAAGATTTGTCAAATCAGAATTTGTCACGTTAAATTGTTGGTCTGAGGATGACAAACAGTAGAGTGTTATCTATCGCTTCAAGTGAAGCGCAGAACTAAATTGATAAAGCTACAAAAATGAAGAGGAGCGAGAAATGAGAGAGGGAGAGGCAAAGAAGCAGAAAGAGAGGAAAAAAGCTAAAATTCCATGGTCACAAAGTACGGAACGCTGTCGTTTTACTGTGTATATTCCTCAATGTTCCCAACCAAATGTATGTGGAACGAACAGAAGAGGGTTTCACAGAGTTTTCTGTCGGTTGTGCTGTTATATTCATCTCTCCGGCAATCGCTTTTTGCTATAGGTACAGCCGCCTATATAGCTTGTACATTCACAGACAGACACGACCCACAGTATTTGGCTCAGAGCTGGCTCGGGGACTTGGTATTTTTCGGGGCGGCGATGTGCCTAATGTGTTGGGTACGGCACTGTATGGGTTGAATACCACAAACTCAGCAGAGTAGAGCGCAAATGAGCGAAAGAGCCTTCTAAAAACACTGAACCTCACTTCGTGGATGAAGCACGATGTGGCACGAGTGGGGAACGAGTGAGGTTTTCGTCGACTTTTGCTGTATACAAAGAGAATACCACTCGAAGGTGGTGTTTCAAGCACAGGAAAATTGATCCATGACACTATTTTGAAAATTTTGGATGTTGGAACGTTAGGAAAAAGTCGGCGCTGCGGAGGATTACAACTTTTCACCCCCAAAAATTGCGTGGGACTGAAGAAAAGCGGGGAAAATTGCAATTTGAGTAATGGAAATTTTATTCAGCTTGTGTGTATTCGTTCACAATTATTTGTAGAGATGAAAAAGTGAAAAAATATGTATGGCGGTTTAATATTCTGATTTTTATCGTATTTGCTGAAGGGGTGCAGAATAATTGGGGATTAATTAGCAGAAGTGATTTGATGAAATTCCTCGCGAAACGGATAACCTCAAATTTGAATTTTGAATTATTGAATCGTTTCAATAAGTAAAGTACAGTGAAACTCTTCTCTCACTTGGCATATCGAACAAAAAGGCGCAGATCCAGCGCTGTGTCTGTTTAGCCTCTATCTAGAGAGTGCACATATACTATACGCTCGTATAGCGAGAGAGCAATATAAATGATAGAGTCAGGCAAAAATATCTATATGGGCTGGCTGTATGTGGTGCTGACTGTAGCTATATAGCGAGCATTCGTCGAGGCTAAATGTAGAGTGCGCTGCTTGTAGTTGAAATGCCCGATGAACACAAACTCAACTCGGTATGGCAGACAACAGCGGCTATACGGCGGGTCGGAAAGCAATGGAGAATCAGTAAGACCTGTGCATTACATGCCATAGGTTGAGTTGAGAGAGCGATGATACTTCTACGTAACTCGTACTAAAGCTGTGCATGTTCACCGATTTCATAGAAATTGAAGTTTTACGGAAATATTGGAGGAAGACATTGTAGTAAATCAACACTAGACTCTTCAATAATTGATATGAACAGAAGGAGAAATTGTGACACCTAATATTGGAGGAAAAAAATCAATTTGATTTTTCCCAACCACATCAATCCCAAAGTTTGAGCATTTGGTCAGAAATATGGTTTCAATCGATGTTACTGAGATGTGTGCCAGTTGTTTAGTGAGTGTTACTAACTGACAAGAAGTCCAGGTGATGTTATCCCGGTCGAAATAATAATTAAGGAGCCAAACGCCAGAAGAAAGCATCGGACACTTTGATGGTTTTTGAAACATTGCAACGAACTGAAAGGAACATACAAACATAAGTAGTTTATAATTGAATTTTTGTGAGATTAAAACACAAGTGAAGTGGGAGACAACAAGTGAGAAGGAAAAAAAGCAAAACAAACGAAAAAATGACTGCAAAAGCAGAGACTATATCCCCAAATGCAATAGACATCGTCCAAGATTAATGTGGACAGATATACAGGTGAGTTTGATTTGTGTACCTCGCGATTCGGGAGGGTAATTTTAAAATTTCACGTGCTCTGCGTGCCCCGAAGGACCGACCGACTGGTTAGGAAGACGCAAAACTTTTGACATCGCGCTCTTTTTGACAGTTCGCGGATAGCAAGAACTGCTATAGAGTGGTCGCCGGAGTGTGTATAGTGTGTAAAATTAATTACACCGCACTTGTTTACAAAGAGTGAGCAGCGGCACGGGTTTCGGTTGTCTGTTTGTCTCTCTACCTCTTGCGAGAGCATTTCCACTTATCAGATCATGTCTCTCAAATCATTTGCCACCGTGCAGCAAGAATGGTCACAATCATTTTTGACTCCCTCAGCCCATGACTCAAGCAAAATACATATATGATGCCAATTGTCTTGCACTTCACTGGGTAAAAATTGCTCGATGGCATTCAGGTAGTGCAGGATTAAAGTAGGATGTTTCTTATTAGAATTTTGGATAGTTGTATTTTTTTTTGCCAAATCAACAAGAGGGCACAATCTCACGTTGTTCTTGGGTTGTTTACAGAAAAAGAGTGGCCCATCCGCCGCACACTTGAGTGACGGAGAGCTTTCTTATTGCATGCTCCAAGCCAACAAATTGCCACTTAATCATTTCATTCAATACATGCTATGTATTGATTTGGGTGACAAAAGGCTCAACTGTCAAAGTCACGTCTAATATAGATGAGGAATCTTGGAGCAAGTCTGCGAACGCTTGCGGATGTGGTGGTTAAATAGTTTTCTTGATTACTTCTCTTGCTAATCGAACATTATAAAAATACTCATCGCGGCAATTATCATGTTAGTCGAGTCTTGACATGCGACAGACTCACATTTATTGATTTGGCGGAGTAATTTTTAATTTAACCCATTGAATTATTTAATATGTGGATAAAGTAACCATTCAGGATATTGGACTCAATGCGGCGTTTCTCCTGAAAAATATTTTTTATGTTTCTTCTATTGGTGTTTTTTCTGTATTTCTTCTCTGTGAAAGAAAAAAAATGTTTAAAAAAATTGATCTCTCGACCAAAAATCCCCTCCATGTTCCAGAGTATGAGAGCTGAGCGAGTGTGTGGTGTTGTGTGAGAAACATTCGTCGGTCGAATGGAATATTTTCGAAGCCAACAAGCGATTGTATGGTACAAAACTCCGTGTCTTTTGTACATTTTATTTCACAAACGAATGAACGTAGCGAAGAAACGAGCCAACATACTGAGAAGGATTATGTACACTGGGGAGTGTATATAGCGTACTATGTGCACATAGCGGTCATGGAAAGTCCAGCAAGTTTTATTTTTCCAATGAGACTCGCGACTGAATGCTGCGTGGTTTGGGTGTGTGCGTGCATGTGGTGGGTTCCAGCATTGGTGGATCGTAATTTTTATACTGTGGATTCCATGTATTGCCACTGATCAGATTTCCAATATGAGCCACTCTGGCAACCCTACGCCATTCTATAATGCTATGTGCACATGAGTACGAGGAATTCAATATGCAGCTGTACATTATGTGCCCCTGCCATTTACCACATAGCCGACCTATGTGCGGAGGCTATGTGGCCTGGGTAGAGCGGGAGCGAGTGAGACGGCATAATGGCTGACGATGCATGCGCGACAGGGAGGCAGCGTAGGCGCCAATTTCTATTTGTTACAGTCTGATGTTGGCGAGAGTGGGGGTTGCGCTTTTAGAGCTCTCTCTCGCGCTCTCGCGCCTTCTCGCTCCCGCCTGGTCGGAGCTTCGGGTCACATAGGTAATCGCTATATCTGTACGTTGTCGGGTGTGCTGGGCGCGTTGGAGGATAGATACAGAGAAAATGAGTTCGAGAGCTTTTCCACCATTTCGCCTCGTCGTCTCAGTCGCACCACCTGAAAGCTCCCGAGCTGAGTTCGCCCCATAAGCTCTCCCCATATAAACGCTGTGTGGCATTTTCACCCAGTGTATCCACATAACGTTACTATGGTGACAGAGTACATTTGTGGGCGTATCCAATACTTGGATTGTACATAGATGGCATCATTTATATATTGTATCCATTAGAATTTCATACAATTAGATTGCTGGAATGGTAAATTTTCTATTAAAGCATCATTGTCCTCTGAATGATTTGGACCGGCCCAGCAATATGTTGTATTTTTAATTATTTCATATTAAAGTTTCGGGTAAATCTGCACAATTCAATTGATGATGATGATAATGATGCGATTGGGGCCAGAAGAGATCGAGCTTGCAAACCTCTCTGTCTCTGGATATAAAATATCCCAGTTGATCCGGAAGAGATCTTTCCCCCTCTGGACATTATCGAGAACTGAAAGGCATGTCGAAATTTCCGTATAAATAAGGTGTCACTTGAATTTTCCTTCAGTCATCCGTATTCTCTCTTTCATTTTATGTATCACCACCATATACGTATGGTCTAACCACATCTCTTTCTTACTAAATACACTGTATTTCGTTATCGAAACTTGAAACTTATGTAAGTGAGTGGTGTATGCCTTGATGGAGGCGAATACCTAGCATTACATTATATTTGAGGTCTACATGGTGGGATATTTTGGCGATATGTGCTTGAGGAGATGGGGCGCCCCGTGAAGGGTATAGTGGTGGATATATTTGCAATATTTTTCCAGAATGGCACAACATATGATGACGATGCTGTTAGGTGATAAAAGTATATAGAGAGGCAGTCACAGGACAGAGAAAATCTACATTACAGCCTCGGCATATGTGAGAGAATGTGTAAGCCTTATGGGCTGCACACAGAAAATACGCATTCCCCAAAATTGGAGGAGAATTTCTGGTGTCGCTGGAGAGATGATGTCTATGTACAATACACGAGAATGATTATATATTTGCAAAAAGAGAGTTTATGGCACGCTAAAAAGCACATCAAAGACAGACACTGTACAGTTGGTCTTGGGCAGAGAGAGAGGGTAGACAAGGAAGCACAAGCGGCTGGCGATATGCTTAAAACTTGAAAGCGGCACGTGATTTCCTTGTTCCAGCCACTGCCACCAATGTCCATCTCGTGGCCAAACATTCTCATGCGCTCATTCGTGGCGGAACCGTCAGATCGTCTGCGTCTCGACGAGAAGGCCCTCTTTTTTCACGTCTATACACCTCAAGCGCCAGGAGCAACAATGTCTCTTCTTGCATTTAATGACTTTCCGTACCTGAGACACAGAGCGGAAGAGAGTTCCCAATGCACCTGACTCTGACCTGAATGTTCCGGGAATATGCTCACCCCCGAACGACACGAGCAATTGAGAAAGCCAACGCACAAGATTGAGATGCGTGGGTCGCTCAACCAAAATTACATCCGTCACCCTGCATTGGTTGCAATATCAAGATTTATTTATACACTTATGAAGCGTTTACAAGACGTAGGATTTTCTGCGTCATTCCTGAGAAGCCATTGCCTTGTATTGCACTCAAATATAGACCGAATATTTGTTTTAATTTTGGGCCATACTCCCCTCGTACTTGCGCATTCCAGGGTTTTAAATTCGGCACGTCAAAACATGTGCTTGCATCGGTGATTTTAGCCATATTTATTATTCTAACTTGAGCCACAGTGCTCATGTAAATTCATCACATGGGTGATCATCGCGATGATCTTTCGCTGATGTCGCGACGAAAGTCAGTGCCAAAGTCTTTTGCGCATCTTCGAGAGTTTTTTTTAGGTTGGAACTCTTAAAAATAGTATGTATATTTCTCGGGAAGATTTTATGGGTGGTGGAGTTCTCCTCACTTGAGCATTGAAATCTCGTACGATCATATCGGGATATTTCTGTGCATTGCATGATCATAGGAGAAAAGTGCATTCCTCCGTCTCTCTTGGGTGTTCCTCTTTTTTCTGCCATCGGCCCGTGCATGTGACGCTCGGGGGAACAGAAATACATGTCCTTCTTGGTGGCAATGCTATTTGCGTCTGAGAGACTGAGTCTGGGGCGGCTGCATTGGACTGGATAATATTGAGGAGGGAGACAAAGAAGGAACTTGCCGTGTGACTCACGCCGACTGAAACTTGGAATTGAACTGAAACGAACAGTTTAATACTGACATACTGCATAGTAACGACCATGTAATTCATTTCCCCTTCACACAAATTCTTATGTACCTAGGCGATATGTGTACATTCTCGCAGAGTGTATAAGCCACACATGAAATAATATTCGTAAAAGAGACCAGTCGTCTTTCGTACAAAACAGTATATTTCGTGCTACGTCATCCTTGAGGGCGCACATTGATGAATATTGTTTTATGTACATGTGTTTGGCAGCATATATAAGGCGCTCTATGCATGTGGTATGGCGTGCATGTAGACATTTCGAAATAGAAACTTTCACAACAATCGACGTCCAAGCGGAATTGTTAGATATTCGACGTCGTCGCTCACCGCCGTCGCTGGCATTCACTATGAGAGCAGCAGACCCACGACGACTGGAGAAATCCTCGGGCTTGGCCCTCTTTTCCCACCACGCGAGCTCCTCTCGCTCTCACGTTCCGGAGGGAGAGCCCGATGACATGGGGTGCTCTGAGGGGCGCCCTCGAGAATGGAAGGGAGAACGACGAGAAAGAGAGCAGAAGAGGAAGAAGAGGGAAAAGTAATGTGACATTTTTTGTCCAGGATCTCTCCCTTCTGCTCTCGTCGGCAGGGTGGGCAGAAGGGACAGACCGAAGGGCTGCCAAGGGTGGAAGTGTACATCCACCCCCCGAGAAGCAATTGAGGTCGACGTCGCAATGAGATTGCGGCGCGAGGGAAAGGGTCGTTCCTCCACTGAAGACAGCGAGAATATGTCTGAAAATAGAGTTGCATTGGGTAGGAAATGCTGGCTGAACTGTAGATCCGATCCGGCGCGCTGTCGTCAATACACTGAATGGCTTGGGAAAATTCATTGTGTGGGAAAAGTGTGTGTGAGCCAGTAGTGCGAGAATGCTTTTGGCTTTTCTCTGATGAAATAATGGTTAGCCGCTGTTG